GATGCAATAGTCGTTTCATGTAAATGGGATTCTATCAAACCAGCAATAACCCAGGGTACTCACACTGGAGTGGTTACCTCTTGGGTTAGATCGCTATGGGTCCATCTTATGCATCCTACCAAATAGCTCACATCTTACATGTGGAAGCCAAGCGTGGCTGAATGACATGTTTCCATGAATAGAACGGTTTCCTAGGAGAATTTGGGTACAAGGTTCTGTCCCGTTAGCTCCGTCGCCTCTGAAGATCCACTTGAAGCGAAAAGCATCGTCATCCAGTCGAGTCGTAATTCAGTCGACCTAAGTATCAAGCTGGCTTGGATTCAACCGTGGACCGACAGTACGTCAGGTCAGGAGAAATCACCATTGTTTACGGAGTTAGACAAGCCGTCTAAACCATCAGGGATTAAAGGCTCCACAAATACTCCGTAGAGCGGCGCAGTTGTGTCGCCAGATGTGATATAACCTAATGTGGCTCAGAGGCTACTCAGCAAATACAGGTCAATTCAGCATTATTATCACTCTTGTCGAAAGATCGAATAGAATACGGAGTGATGACATTCAAAAATTGATTCTCTCAGCATAAACATGCATAAAAATACACACTGAGAGCAAGGTATCCATAGAATACAGGATCGACGCATGTCGGGTAATTAACATATAGTTGGACAGAGGCACGAGGCAGAAGAATTCCTAGGAACATTAATGCGTGCTATCCACCAGAACCAGATTCCAGCTCATCTTCATCTCTTACTCATTCTGTATTATTCCCTATCAAATCCTCTATCAGGTAAACCAGCACTATATCGCAATTTGCGACTTAGTGCACACTCTCCCCTTGATATCGTCAGTTGGGTCTCGACCCAGTGTCCGCAGTCCACACGGCATCGGTCGGGTTGCCCCGTTGCGCTGCGCAATCCGAGCATAAACAAGCGCACTTGATCATTTTCTCAGCATTCCACAAGGATCTTCTTCCTTTCCTTTTGCCTTGATACTTTATCGGGAGTAAGAAAGAGATCTTCAAGGATATCAGATATCCATTTCTTGGATTCAGGTGTCTTCTCTCGATTTACTTCCTCTTAGGAAGTTCCATCAGCATCAGCTCCCCAGTCCACTCCTCCATCCGCAAACATGCGAGTATCACGACCTTCCTTCAATCCCGGGCGAACGAAAAACCTCATTCATGGGTTACAAGGGTTCATCATCTTTCTCGCATGGGCTTTGACCATTGCCGTCTTCACAAAAGGTGATGGAATCGATGGCCGGTCAGCTTGGTACTGGGCCTTGGTGAGTCTCAGCTCTTGATTGTACTTCCCAGCGAAGAAGGAGCGTGGACTTGAAGCTAATGTGTCGACGCCAATGAAGTGTTGGCTCAGTATCCCCGGCCTGATTTACCTTGTCGCAGTGCCCATGTGGCCACGCGCACGACGATTCGGAAACGTCTATGCTTTTGCTACGGTCGACTGTTTGTACGCGATTCTGTGGTTCTCTGCATGGATTTGTGTCGCAAGCTATGTCGCGCAGGGAAAGTCCGAGGGCAAAAGCGACAGTAACAGCGATAAGAATAAGGATGACAAGAAGAGCGGCTGCGACGCCTGGAAGTACGGCAGCGCCAGCAAATGCAACATTAGTACGGCAACTGTGATCCTGGGGGTTGTGATCTTGTAGGTTTCCTTTCGAGTCTCGTACTTCGCGCGATATCTCTGCTAATGAGACTCGTCTGCAGCCTTCTCTTTGTTGCGACCGCTTGGATGTCCTTCCGCAATGTCATGCATTTTCGCCGAACCGGTACCCTTCCCGATGCTGTTTCCGATCCTACATTCGCTGCACAGAGCAAGGCCGCTTTCTCCTCGAACCCTGCACATGACTTTGAGGAAGAGGAGGATGATTTCCGCACCGGACGTGCTGGAATCGGCGCTTCTGTTCGTAACGATCAGGACGAGGATTATGCCCTGCTTCACCAAAGCGAGATAGACGACCTCGGAAATGGCAACGGACGAACTGCAATGCATGGTGCCTATGATCCCACTGCTACCGGATCAGGGAGTGTGCTGCATGATTACAACACCGGCTACGGCGGCGCGCACGGGCAACACTATGCACAACCGTCTGAATACGGTTCTACCCTGAGTGGCTATGGACGTTAAAGATGGTCCTTTGGTCTCGACTCATGCGCATTGTCTTTGAATTCCGGTATTGATCTTGAAGTGGTGTTGCAGGCGCATATACATGTATGACCTTATGTTGCCCTTTTGTCTATCGAGATCTATTCGATAGTATCTACTTATCTTGGCTTTAGGCGATGATATCTGTTGCAGTCAGTCGGCGTGGGAAACAATGCGTCTTCAAAATTGTTTGCATTTTCTGTTCCTTTGACGATGTTTACGATCACCCTGGTTTTGCAGCTATTTTGGAGCAGGGGTAGAGGATTCGCATGTATTCAGCTTATGAAGTGGACTTGGGATATTCATAGATACTCCAAATTACCTTTTAGTTTGGGTCAACCTGACAATGAGGCATGCTATTGACATAACTTGGAAGTTTTCTACCTAGTAATCTGGACAACATGGACATGGCCCCGTAAAAGGCACTACCTAGAAGGGTCTTGAAGCCAAGTAATGATAGTGATCTCCCTTTGATAAGAACATATAGGCGGGTTCTGCCACCGCCTTCCGTTCGTATCGAATAGCTTCAGGACAGCTTGCGATCTTGACAGTGTAAATAGTCAGCAACCATTCAAAGATACCCCTTTCACACCATATCTGTCTCCGAGGAGATTACGCTTTGAAATAGATAGTTATTGCTACTTCTTTTTAATTCCCACGCTTTGGTAAGTGTGCAATACCGGACATAACTCATACCATTTATCCAGACTGACAGTCGCAACAGCTGAAACTGGATMCCTGGCAAATCTCCAAACCTGCATATTAGAGTCAGCCGGTCTTCTCATCACAATGGCCAGCAGCATCGACATCTTCCACCAGTACCCCCTGCACCTCGACCCGACCTCCAAAGCCATCTCCCTGCCGCCCTCATCCAGCCAATCCGCCTCTCAAACCACAGCCATCAACGAAGAGCTGCAAGCTCTCAACAACCTGCACCGCTCACTAATCGCCCTCGACGCCCCTAATATCCCCCCTCCACCACTCCCCATAAATCCCAAGCGCAGCGCCCAGATTACCAAACTCCGCGACACCGCCAACCAGGCCTATCGCAAATCCAACTACGCCGAGGCCGTAAAGCTCTACACCTACGCCATCGATATGGCCCTGAGTCGCCCCGGCTGGGAACCCGTCAATCTGGCCCGCGACGAGTTATCCGGCCTGTACGCCAACCGCTCGCAGGCGTACATGGCGCAGCAGGCCTGGCCCGAGGGAATGCTGGATGCCAAGGCTAGCTGTGATTCCAAGCCTGTTGCGAATGTGAAGGCTTGGTGGCGCGCCGGCAAGTGTCTGGCTGAGATGGGTCGCTGGGAAGAGGCTAAGACTATTCTCGAGCGCGGACTCGACATTGAGGGGAAGACTGGTGACGGTGCGAAAGAACTTGGGGCGCTGTTGGAGGAGGTTCAGCAGAGACTACAGAAGTCGGCATAGTTTGATGCAGGCCCTGCATTGGCTCGAGCCACTGGTTGCAGACTGTGACGGTCTTCTTTATGGTGAATTACGATATCTGCAGCTCTGTGTTTTGGGCTGCTCTATCATCTTGTCCTTTCGTTGCGATTCATGGTTGATCTTTGGCGTTAATGGAATGATGGGTTTCTGTTTACTCTGGTTGTCCTTAACCCATTCAAGATAGAGCGTCACATCACTCAAAAATATCATTCAACAGACACAAAAAGATACCCAAGGAAGAGATTAATTTCGTCCGTCTAGATAGAAAGTATGCAAAATTGAAAAAAGATTGGTCGAAAGAAAGGAAAAAGGAAACATCTTCCGATGCGGGGAATCGAACCCCGAGCTGCTGTGTGAGAGACAGCGATGTTAGCCATTACACCACATCGGATGGTTGTTGAAGGTCATGCGTATTTTGAGATCATCAGAGTGCATGAAAGTTTGGACATTAGGCGGTCCAGTAGGGTCATCGGGAACAACTTCGATTGTGCCCCACTTCGAACCACGGACTGGCGGACCCATTACCAAATAGAGAGGCTCAGGAAAAAATTTTGGATTATCAGGGCAAAGCACCCGAATTCTTCCAACAATGTCCGATGTGGTGTAATGGCTAACATCGCTGTCTCTCACACAGCAGCTCGGGGTTCGATTCCCCGCATCGGAATTGATTCATTTTTTGAGTCTTTGAGACTTTTTTTTCTTCATCTGTCCTTGTTAGACACTCGCTGTCTGTATGTCGGGTTCTGCCTTATGATATGAATGTCCAGACGCTTCTTTACAGATTACAACTGCCTTGAGTACCTTAGTCTATCAGGGGTATATCCTTGACAGAGTTCTAATATTATTAACTAATTTAGTTATATAACTACAGGATTACCCCTGCAGTTAGGGCTTTGAACTATCCACCATGGTATGGATTGCTCTCTCTCGGCGTACTTGCTGTACTCCATAATATATATTCCCATCCACCTTGAACTTATCCCAAGTCAAATAGGTATTGAGGCCACTATTAGTATCTCTTAGCTGACTGACGTTACGAACAGCTGCTGGAGGGTGGTTCGATATCTTTCATACTCTGTCTTTTTCATTCATCAGCTCTTCTAATTTCTAGGTTATTGCCAACAGCGTTCCATCATGTATGCCCCATCGACTCCCGCTTCAATTCTCCCCTCAGCATCGTATTCTTCCTCTAACTTCGCTCCCTTCACTGGCAACTATTTTCGTCCCATCACCTCTTGTCTGCCATGTCGTCGCCGAAAGGTCAAATGCGATCGCCGACAACCCATTTGTTTTACATGTGAGCGAGGCAATCACGCCTGTTCCTATGTGTCTTCTCAGCCATCACCAGTCTCACAACCCAGCCGGGTGACCAAATCAACAACTTGGTCCAAGATGTCCTCTTCCACACTGACTGGGATCAATCCCAGACTCCAGCGGCTGGCGGACATCCTGGCCCAAGCACAGGAGCTGCCATATGAAGCCTCCGAGCAAAGTCCATCCTTGCCGGAAGCATATCGATCTTCACCTCTTCCCAAAGATGCGGCAACCCCGCAGCGCCAATCGCAGGAAGATGTGCTCGTCTTAGAAAACGGAGTACCTCGCTTTATTTCCGGTAGACACTGGACCTGGATGGCTGAAGAGGTGCGCAAACAATGAACCCCGTACACTTGTAGCGAAGAGAAACTATGTGAAAATGAATGGATATCTGATTGCTCACCAAGCAGATTCAAGATATCCAATCTCTGCTCAAGGAGTTGCAAGAGTCGTCGGCCCAACAGGCTCCAGACGATCATCTACTCTGGGAAACTGATACCTCACCATCTAATGTGTACTGCTTTTATCCCGATACTCGAGGAGATTGCTATTTACTGCTGAATGTTTTCCTGGCCAATGTCGATCCCGTAGTCCGAATAGTGCATCGTCCCAGTTTGGCTCGTCGCTTTGATGGATTTATTCGTACCCATTACTCCCTGGACAAGACTCCAGTCGGCAGCAGTTGTCACTATATGACATTCGACATCAATCAATCTGACACGTTTGAGCCGCTGGCCATGTCCATTTTCTATGCAGCCATTAATAGCATGAAGGAAACAGATGTTTCTGCAGCTTTCAACACTGACAAATCCCGTCTCCTGCTGAGGTACCGAGCCGGGATCGAAGTATACCTGAAGCAACATGACTTCATGACCTCCAGGGTCTTTGAGGTGTTACAAGCATTTGTCATCTTTTTGGTGAGTTTTGAATCGGTGGAAGATTACCTTCATAGCTAATACACAGTCGCAGACTGCCCAATATCGCGAAGATGATATAGGCAAAGTGTGGCCCTTGACGGGTCTTGCCATTCGCATGGCCACTAGTCAAGGCCTCCACCGTGACCCATTGGCACTACCACAGGGAACGATTGACATAGTGCAAGTTGAGCTGCGCCGCCGTTTATGGGCACAGATCTGTCATCTAGACTTTAGGGCTGCGGAGGGTCACGGCTTCGCTCCTTCAATCCACGAGTCTGATTTTGATACGCGTCTTCCTCTTAATGTGGATGATGTCGATCTAATAGAAGGAGTTGCGCCCTCTACCAGACTATTGGATGCGCCTAAATTCACAGATATGACCATCTATCTGCTTCGGGTCACAGCCGCCCAATGTTACGGGCGCATTATCCAGATCACACACGCATCACGAAAGAGAATCCGCGCTTGTTCTCAGGGACCTTTGGGAGAAGCTCAAGTTTTGTCGGAACTTCAAACCCTGTTAAGAACTGCCGAGGCCATGGCAGCGGAGCTGGAGACGGCACTAGATAATCTTGTCCAATACTGCGACAGAAGGGTCAGCTTGCAATCAATGGCCTTACAACTCAGTGCTCATCTAAAGTCCAAATTCTGGGTCATATTTTGGATCCAGATATCTCGCCAGGACCGCGAGAAGATCATCAGCCCGGCCATGCGAAGGAGGTAATCACCCAAGGTCCGATCAACGCCTTACATTTGCTGACTTACGAAGTATATTCATGGATGCAGCCACGACTGTAGAGAACTGGTGTACCATCGCCTCAAGCAAGGAGTGTGAACCATTCCAATGGCATATTTCTTCACATGCCGGCTTCTACCCCATCCTTTACGTGCTTTCTGAGGTTCGTAGCCCTGTATTTCAAACACCGGAATGGGCCGATCTTCGACAAAGGGGTTTGCAGGTAGCCAATGCGATTCATGAAACCCGCGGGCAGCACACCACCGGGGCATGGGCAGTCATTAACTGGTTGATTGAGCGAATTCGATCCCAGAGTCTCGATATCGCCGAGGACAATCGAACAGCTGGTCTCACGCCAGGACCACAGGACGATCCGAGGTTGATGAGATCAGGGGTGGATAGCCTGGCTTCGGCCGGGATAGAATTAGAGGCTGCGGATTTTCTGGGCTTTACGAACCTGGGAGACTTTGACTTCCCTGACCTTGGGGGTCTTGACCCGATGTCGTTTTCTAGTCCTTCACAGTGGAGCTGATGCGCTGATACGCGTGAATACCGGCCTGATTGATTCGCCGGGATCACTTCATTCAGCTCCGCTGTAACCTTTCGAGTTTTGGGCCTTGAGGATTATATCCTTGGGAATGCATCTCTTTATGCACTGTGTCATTCACTCCGAGCTCATGCAAGACCTCTGACTCTGGTCTAACTCAGACTTCACGCAACAATCCATGTCCAGGGTATTATCCTAGGGTTGGTGCTTTGAGTGTAGCAATGAATGTCCGACCCGTCCAGACATAGAATGTACAATTTAGTTCATGAACCCCTCAACAGCCCATTTCTAATACTGTATACCACCTTATGACAGATGAGCATACGGTATGGAGAGGATGTGGGCCGCTGTAGCGTAGCGGATCCTCTGAAGCCTTAGACTCTATGGAGGAGACCAGGGTTGGCTCGGCCGAGGGGACCCACAGCTCGTGCGACGCTATTATAGCGCACTCTGAAGTATACGAATAAGGATATAGATAGGAAGAGGTATGGTCAGTATATATAGAGCTGATGAAAACAACATAACAATATGAGACTTCGAAATCGCTAAACTGAAGTAGATCAGAATGTCCGAGTTCGACGATCACAGAAGCGAGACACCTCAATCACCACCGGACGGGGAGAATCTGGAATCCCTGAGCCGCATGAAAAAAGCCGATAATGAACAAGAGAAAGAGAGTCGAAATGGTTCTCGTCATGTTCGTCGAGGATTCCTATCCTGTCTGTGTTTCGTCCCAGCCATCGAAGACCCGCGACAATACCCTGCGGGACGGAAGTGGTTCCTGACGGCCATAGTGGCAGGCGGCGGATTGGTCGTGCCTCTGAGCAGTGGCGTCTTGTTCCGTATGCCTTCCCTAACTGTCTCTGCTGAGGGAATTGATAGTGATATCATTGACAGCCTGCCTCATCATGATCGCCGAGGATCTCCATACGACCGTCTCCGTCGTGAACCTGTCTATCGCGTTTGGCTCTCTCTCTGTCGCCATCACGCCTCTCTGGTGGTCCCATCTAGCAGAACTCTACGGCCGCCGACTAGTCTATCTCCTCTCCTTCTTCTTCCTCGGCCTCTTCAGCATCCTAGCCGCCATCAGCCCTAACATATGCATGTTCGTTGCAATGCGACTCCTCAGCGGGGCCGCCAGCGCTTCCCTCCAGGCCGTCAGCGCCGGTACCATCTCCGATATGTTCGACGCACAAGAACGAGGCAAAGCCATGGGCGCGTTCATGCTCGGCCCGATGCTCGGCCCCATGTTCGCTCCCATTATCGGCGGCGCCTTGGTCACCCGGTGGAGCTGGCGCAGCACGCAGTGGTTCATGGTGATCTATGGATGGGCTGTTTTTCTCATCATGCTGTTCTTCATGCCAGAGACGGCGACGAACCTCGAAGAGAACCAGCGGAATGAGCGGGCTACGTCGACACGACCCGCGACGAGAGTTGTAAATCTCTTGCTGAAACCCGTCCAGGCGGCTGCCTTGCTGCAACACCCGCCCATCCTGATCACCGTGTATTACACAAGTATTGTCTTCGCAACGTACTACCTCATTTGCGTCTCCATCGAAGATACCTTTGCCTTGCCGCCGTACTCGTGGAGCTCGGTCATTGTTGGAGTCGCGTATATCCCCGCCGGCCTGGGCCTGCTGTTTGGTGCGATCATCGGCGGCCGCTGGCAGGATTATATTATGAAGCGGACAGCGAAGGAAGAAGGACGCTTTGACGACGATGGCAATCTCATCTTACATCCTGTTGACCGGCTCGGCGAGAACTTCTTGGTGGCGGGTATTCTCTTCCCGGGGGCTCTGTTATGGTGGGGATGGACGGCAGACAAGCATGTATTCTGGCTGGTGCCGGTAAGTACGTTTTGCATCTAGGTAACTGGCAACTGAGAATATGTAGTTGATCGGCAACTTCTTCTACGGCTTTGCGGGGATGATCCTCACCAATGTGACCATGACGATGCTGACCGAGTTCACGCCCAAGAGGTCAACTATGGGCGTCGCGGTGAACAATCTGATGCGGAACAGTTTGTCCTGTGTGAGTGCGGTGATTGCCCAGCCTCTCTTTGATGCTATCGGCACTGGCTGGTCGTTTACAGCAGTCTGTCTCTTCTGTCTGCTCAGTGGGATACCTTTGATTCTGTTGCGGATCAAGCGGGACGAGTGGAGTGCGAGGATGAGGGAGGCTCTGGGCGATATGCAGTAGTGCATACTCTGATACATGCTTGGTTATAAAGTGTTTGATAGTAGAATGGAGAATTAATAGAATTACAAAGCTCTGATGTTAAAAAGATATTATCTCCGTCAGGAAAAAGCAATCTGAACAGCCTGCAAAATAACCTGCAACAGAGCCAGCAGCGTACCAAACGCCCCAAAGACAATGACAGCCCACAATACAGAGATTAGATATAAAGCCGAGATATGGTCTTCATCGCCGTGGCTGAGCTTCCCCATAATGCCGTCTTCAGAGAGCAGTGGCATCAACTCGTTAAAAGTGATTGACTCCCTCGTGAGAGATACTCGGCAATCTTGAAGAGGGCTCTTTCAAACTGTCCGAGCCGCTGCGTACGGCCATGCTTTATCTCCTGGCAATTCAATGGGTCGAAGAATTCCGATGCATTTGCTGTAGTTGCCATGCAAGCCAAGAACTATACCATGACTGACATTTAGGCTGGTGGGATGATTGTTGTGCCGAAAGGAGACCATGCTTACCATTATGAGAAGCCAGGGGATTGGAGGTCACTCTTCTGTTCAGAGACACGCACCTATGCAGATTCCGAGTTTGTTTTCACTTACCAAAAAGGTTCGCTTGTTGAAAGTCCTTCTGGAGATGAGACCTCCAGTGAAACCCTCACCATATTTCACAACTAGGCAGCCTGCTGGGATTTTCCTGATAGTGCGTGTATTCAGCAGGATGGGCATTGGGGAATATAAAATAATAAAGCCATCATCTACTTGAAAACAGAAAGGGCGAAGCAATATAAGCACCGCTTTTCCCTCTGCTTCAGGCCAATCGAACTGTGGCCCTGATATGCACGTTCTTCCACATGTCTGCTTCCCGCTGCGCATGCAGTTCGGCAAGGTCTTGAGGCTGCCCTAGATATTTCGAGATCTTGCCGAACTGCAGCCAGCTTGCGGCTATATTAGTTAAATAAACCACCGACTCGCGCTTGACATAGGGTATTATATAGTCCACATATAACTGTTCGTCGTTTCCAGTAAAAAGGTACACAATAGAATCAGGAGCTGGAGAGCACCATATGCTGGACTTCTATGCACGAAGTGTAAAGCAGATGCATCAATCTGATGGGCTATAGATTAGTAGAACTTAGACTCATGTAGCAGACAAGGATAAATTCCACCACAGCTAGTGGGATTACTTCAACAGCCGCCCTGGCGGGGAACTGGGGAGATGCCGCCAGTAATAAAGCCACGATAAGCTCGGCCATGCCTCTAAATTTAATCAAACGCAGCTCAACCAAGCTTTGCATATGCTTTAGGGCACAATATATATTTTATCCTCTATTGTAGACGACTCATGGAGCTCTCTCACGTGGTCATCTGCGGGGTGACATTCACAACAAATAATGTCTCTTGACTCTCCTCATCCTGACATCTTCTCGAGAAGTCTTCAAGCATCGCAATCGGCCAATCGGGAACCAGATAATCTCTCGAGGCCATAACAATGCGTGAGCCCGAGATATTTCAGCTTTCGGTAGCGGCCTCTTTGAAGGCCTCACCAGCAAAGAGAAGCTCTATGCCCACCACACGGCCAGGTAAGACTCGAACACATCGACATTTAACATCCAAACTGAGAGTTAGATAAGAGCCGCATGGCATGGGACAAGAATCATTCTCCGACAAGTGTCCCCAGAAGCAATCGATATTTTCGACTTCATCATGGCCCTTCACCATAGCTGTGATGGTCAATGGGAACAGCTAGCAAGGAGAGCGCAAGTGGACATGACTGAAGTGGAAAAGTTCCTTAACTACGCAGCGGCTTTTCTCTCTAACATTGGTAATTACTTCGTGAGTACCTACGTCCTTGTGTCTTCTGCATTCAATAATTTGATTATGTTGTAGGGCTCTGGGGATCAGAAGTTCCATCCTCAAACCTCACCAGATGAGCTGGAGAAGCTTGCGAACTGTGATCCTACCACGGCGCAAATGTTTGCAAAAGTCCGAGATGCATTGTTTCGACCATTGCCCAATAGTCTGGGTGTTCCCAGCGAAACTTCCCAAAGCACATACTATCTTGGAGATGAAACGCTTGAAAATATGGACGAGGTCTCCACCGTGTCCAAGTTGATGGAATCATCGAGAATCTTTCCCGAGAATACTAGATTGAAGAAGAGTGTCAAAACTGAAGGTGACATTACCCTCCGAACATATGATATCCTGCAAGCCTCAGTAGAAGAAGACGAAGCCACACTTCAGGAACCCGATGATCACTCTGCCAATAGCACAAGAATTCGCTTGGTTCGGGGTGATCACAAAGAAGAACTCAAAAAGATCAATCAGAGCCTGAGAGAAGCTAAGAAGTACGCAGCCAATTGCGAACAGCAGAGACTGCTGGCGGACATTGCAGAAAGCTTTTCTTCTGGCGACCTCAATCCCTACAGGGAAGCACAAAGGGTTTGGGTCAAGGACAAGGCCCCAAAGGTAGAGACTGTCTTTGGATTCGTTGAGCCGTACAGAGATCCCCTTGGAATTCGTGCTGAGTTCGAAGGTATCGTCGGAATATCAGACTCAGGAAAAACAAAAGTGCTGCGCAGGCTCGCTGAGATTGCCTCTGAAATTATTCCTCAGCTACCTTGGGCTGAGGGATACGAGGAGAATAATGGAAAAGGCCCATTTGAGAAGGAGCTTTTCGATATTCCTGATTTTGCAAGCGTCCAAAGTGGGTTGCATCATGGGGACCTTTCCTCAAATCATGGAGAGCTAATGAGACCGTAGTTCTGGCTTATTGCTCTAGCCTGGTGTTTCCGGGGATCAATCTTCCAAATGTGAGTGATCGCCTGCATAAGAGAAACCGCCATTGACTAACTTCCAATTGATAGTACAATGACATCAGACAAGAAGATGGTTTCAAAAACATTATCTTTGCTAACCGCATGATAGCAGAGAGTAAACGAGCCAGGGGTATCCACATGATCMATGAATCAGAGCGCAAAGTCTTCCAGGAGCACCGCTTTATAGCATACTACATTTGGGTAGTTCTTCATGAGATACTCGGCCATGGCACGGGCAAGCTCCTTGTAGAGGACTCACAGGGGCATTTCAACTTTGACAGAGAGCACCCGCCATGGAACCCACTCTCTGGAAAGCCCATTGACAGTTGGTATGGTCCAGGGGAAACCTGGACAGGAGTTTTCGCAGATTTGGCGACGACTGTGGATGAGTGTCGCGCTGAACTTGTTGGTGCTTATCTGATTGACGTTCCTGAGATCCTGGAGCTTTTCGGATGCACTGTAGACAGCAAGATTAAACCTGCCGATGGTAAGAGCCCGATAAACGCATAGGATGTGGCCCTGACCTTTCTGTGACCAAGTGGTCTATAATCTCTATCAGCAATTAGGAGTTGATGGACTGCGAGCACTCGAGAATTACAACCCATCCACCAAGGTAGGTGCGACTATACGAAGACAAACAACAGAAGCTAAAACTATTCTAGAAATGGGGTCAAGCACACAGCAGAGTAAGTAGTATCAAGCGCCAAAGCGACTGTCTCTAACCATTTCAGGCACATTTCGGTATGCTCCAACATATGCTTCGTGACAGCAGTGGCCTCTACAATATCATTCATGATAAGGAGAGCCAGAATTTGACAGTCCAAGTCAATCGATCCCGTCTTCAGGAAGGCAAGGCTTCCCTTGGCCGGATGCTTCTCCGCTTGCATATCTACCGCTGCACAGCGGATATACGCAGCTGCCGCGAGTTCTATGAAGATCTGACTACAGTCAATGACGAAGCTTTAGGATGGAGGGAGGTGGTACTCATGAAGAAGGTCCCCCCATTGGCATTTTGCCATGCAAATACCTTTCTAGAAGGAGACAGTGTCATCTTGAAGGAGTATGAACCTACTGTTCGTGGGCTTATCCAAAGCTGGGCAGAGAGGGATGTCTAACGTCCTGGCTATTATTCGTGTTTATAAAGTTAGAACAAAGAGAACTCTCGCTGACCAGCATGCCCGCCCCCCTCCAGGATGGCAATGACGTTTTTGACATTGTTGTACATATAAAGCTACTGCAGACATATCCTCCGATGGAGACATGAGATTTGAGCAGTCCACAATGACATTAGTATTAAGTGTAGAGGGACAGCTTTTTCAAGTCAGTGCACACAGAGTGTCATTTGACTCTCTTATTGTTGTAGACAGAGAAAAAGGCAGGACAAGCAGGACGGCGCTGGACAGCCATGTGGCATGTCGACTGTTCTTCTTTGCTTTGTTCAAGACTACTAACATATATCTGAACAGGGTATATGGCGGCCTAAGACCATGAATACAGTTTCTTGAGTTTATGCTATACCTAGTCTGACATGCCTGGGTGCCCAAGCAGTAGCCAACCGCAAAGATTCAGCCTGATACGTAGAGCTAGAGGACAACTGGGGCTAGAAATGTTGCGGAGGATACAAGACTTGTTTCTTATAAATTGAACGATCACCAGTTGTTTTCCAGGTTATGTCACATGAGTTAGCCCGGTTGGCTGGCATAGCGCTCCAGTTGTCAACGCAAATGATATGCCGAAGAGACGATTGATCTCCTCGCCAAACCGGCCACGATCCAGCTGACCCAGCAAATCTCCAAAAAGGGACGTCAGGCCGTTCCGTAGGATAGAAGCAGTCTCGAAATACGCAGGATACATCCCTGCAAACGCCCAATCTATCAACCAGACCTTTCCTCGACCATCCAGAATGATATTTCGCGGGTGAAGGTCCATATGACACATCACCAGATCCCGAAAAAGGCCACGCAACCCCTCGTGCGCCTGGTCCACTACGCCAAACCCACGGCAGACTGCAAGGCGGCCATCGAACCACCGCTCCATATCCTCCTGGAAGACAAAGGGGCCAGCGCCATAGTCGGTGAAAAAGGCACCGTTCGAGACACCGCCACCGATTGGACCCGGTTTGTTCGATTTGAGAAGTCGAAGCTCTTGTACGAATTGGTGCAACTGTTGCTGGATATCGAGAAACGTCACTCAGTGTAGGCCAGACTTCATCAAGCTGTTGGCCACTTAAGTAACTCATCGCTATATAGCAACTTAAGTAACTCATCGCTATATAGCATGTGGTATCTTCTCTATCAACCCGCTTGTCTCCCATGCGTCTAAAACGGTGGGAAGTCGAATGTTTGTATGTTGGGCGACAAATCTCATATTGCTGGCTTCCCAGATGTGGACGTCGGAGCCGTACTTAACAACGATGCCCGAGGAAACACGCACAATTCGGACCCCTCCGTTCTCCCATAATCTTGGAAGAGCATCTAAAGCTTGGAGGAGTTGGTCTCGACCAAGATTTTGTATATCATTGTCCTTGAGCGGGAAATCACTTCCCGTTTCTTGGGGACGCCGGAGCCCAGGTAGTTCTGGCATTGCTATATTCAATATATTAGAGAGGAGATTAATGTTGAGATCTCCAACACTTGCCTTGACTGAACTGGTCTGCCAGGCGAATGGGAAGAATTGCAGTAGATGTTATGCCGTCGACGAGAACATGCAAGGAATCTAACCCACATGAACCACAGGGGCTGTTTATGCATTTAACTCTGACTCCAGTTCCGACTAATGAAGCTGCCAGCGCTTTAAAATTGCATCTCAACCGAATCCTCGCTTGTTGCCTCTTCTTAAATAGAATATAAAAGCAACATTCTATCCCCGAGTCCCTTACGCACGACCACGACCGCGTCCCGTCACAGCATCCGCTCCTATTTGCCGCCACCTACTTCTTGTCTCCGACCGCAGCTGTCGCGGCGTCCTACCCGCTGCATCCGGTTGATCCATCATCCTATCATCACCAGAGACCTCCTGCAGGATAGTCACCATCTCATCCTGCGCTCTGATCCTGCCCGCGACCATAACCCCCCCTCAATCTTCTTGTCATAAGTCTCCCTGGGCTGGAGAATTCCACCTGCCACTTCATAGAAGGCCGTGTCCCCCTTGGCATTACTGGCATGGACATCAGCACCTCGACTGAGTAGGAACTCGGCCGCCTGCACCTGGTGTAAATTGATGGCCATGATGTGAAGAGCGGTGTACCCATCCTTATCTGCATGGTTGACGCTAGCACCATGCGATACCTGCAAGTCATGTAAAGCAGTATTGATAGCCTCACCAGCCACGGAGTGGTAAGCAATTATAGGCAGTAGAGTGTGGCCATGGCTATCCGAAACACTTGCATCTGCCTCATGCTCTCGCAAGAACTGATTACGAGATCAGCGTGCCTGCTCCGTGTTCGTCCTGGACATTGATGGCCCTACGGTTGCTGGCAAGGAGCAGCCTGAATGCCTCAATAAGCCGGGAGCTGATTTCATCGTCAGGGAGCCCGCATTCGCGAGTATCGTGGCCTGCGGCTGCCCGGTGAAACAGGAGACGCCCATTGCTATCGTGGCAGGAAACCAAGTCTGTGATACCATGGCCGACAGCACCGCTGTCAGCACGGTAGTCAACAGCGCTTTAATCGACTCCGGATTCCAAGACGATCTGGCCAGGTGAAGTGCAGTGATATCCCGCGGTGAAGTCTTCTCCCTCCCAAATCCTCCAGCGTCCATAGGGTTATGTGTGTGCTGCTTCTTAGTCGGCCGCAGATTTCATTAAGAGACATTGTTGTAGGGTGAATATACACGCAGAAAGCTCCTAGACACAAAATCTGACATGCAAGGATGAACATCCAACAAGCCATGAAGTTACTCTGATGGCCAATTTTGACCTTTGGGAACTGAGTGGACAAGAACCTAGCGGAGGGAGCTCCTCCGAAACCCTATTAACAGCACTCTATCCTGCTCCTCTCATATTATGTTCTGACTCTTAGTTTAGTAATGAACTAATATCGGATCACTGGTCATGTAAAACATGAAATAACGTTTAAGGGTGACAAAGGTAGTACAAGCTCAAATGCCGTCGCTACCCACTCGGTAACTGACATTACCCAGCACCACTTCTGCCTATATGGACTTGTATGCCTGGTAATAACGCCGTTGCCAGGCTGTGAGCAATGGTTCAATTCAATATATAGAGTCCATATTGGAATATGGCTAGCACATACGACCATAGGGTGTGGAAAACAGGGCTTCCCGTCCGCTCAGCCGTACTTAAGCCCCAATCATCAACGTGGTCGAAAGTTATATGCGCCCTTGAAGGCCTGCTGCTTTATGGGTGAGAGATGCTAAACCATAGGGTGAGTGTAGGTGAGTGAAGGTGAGCTGAGTGATGCTATCCAATACCATGGGTGAGCATGGGTGATCAGTAGGTGATAGTGTGATTCTATAATTACTACGCTCCATCTATTGCTAGCTTAAATATGAGGGCCTCCTCTCTACTTAATCATTATCTCGACAGTATGTATAGGATATAGTGAATATCTACATCTTTAAAGAGAGAGTGGTATATTATCCTAGTAAATAGCCTATTAATAGGAGATGTCTAGCCTGTACTCCTTTTGCTATTTGCCTATTCCTTGCCCTCACTTTCATCATTTCACCTCTCCTCCCCATAAGTACCGTCATTTTCTAAATCTCACCTTAATATGCTTTAGAGCCCACTTCCTTGCGCTGTACTGAAGCATTCTTCTCTTTTCTTAAAAAGAAAAAATCGAATGTGCTTACTATACCTCCAGCGCATCTTGAAGATTGATGGGTGCACACATAACACCCTTAGGGCTAAAGACCCTCAGCAGATCGATCACCTTGGGTCCTAGGTTGTTGCTAGCTTTTCAGTTTAATCAATTAATGCTATTAAAGAGTCACAAAGAAATGTCCAGGATAGAAAGTGCGCAACAGCAGCTTAACTAAAATAAACTATAAGCATAAACAGGAATGCTAGAAAGGAGGGCAGGGCGAAGTATATACAGCCACTTAGCAACCAGCTTCCTCAATATCCTGGGTGATCCAAACATATCTCCATTCAGACCCCTGCAGTACACCAACCAAGAATGGCAAGGGCCTCCCAGCTGCCAAAAGAGTATTTAGGCCCAAGCTATTGCAGGGGTAAAAGTAACCTTGCCTCGTGCAGGGAAAAGTGTTAGGCTTGGCTTAGTGCCCAGTCCTTTTGTCTAGCTGAAGACTCAACTAAGCAAACAGCGACTAGCTGTCAACAGTCGTACAAAAAGCGGGACGTGCACAAAGCCTTAGCATTTGAGAGGGAGGCTCTGTACACCAGAGCTGCTAGAAAGCACCTTGCGTTAAAGGATTACTTCCTAGTGATGTGCCGTCCCGATTCCGGCTTAGTGTCAAGTCGGCGTTTGCGATCTACATATTCCGGGTTTTGGTATACCTCGACTGGTCTGACCAGGGTCGCCTCCCGAGGACTTTATAGCGTAAAAGGCTGAATGTGTACTTGTCGGACTTCTAAATACAAGTCATTTTACGGCTTATGCCTCATATATCTGAATAGGTTTAATGTTCCTGTATTTTCCCTATTGCATTTCTTATATAACTGACACAGTGTGTGGGAATAATAACAAAACTGCCGATGAACGGGCCAAAGGGCATTATGGTATCGTAGAAGAGAAAAGCCAGACTGGGGCTATTTCGCTATCAATGCATGAACCTGCTGATGCATAATTAATGATTAAGAGACCATCCACTATCTGCTCTTACCCAATTATGGCTCATGCCTCTTCTTCGTACTACCTTCGCTCGAGCATCCCTGTGCCAATGTCTAGGCTGTGATAGAAATGCGCTGTTCGCAGTTCTATGATTCCTTTTTCCGAGCTCCTTCCTTGACAACCGTTCTCCCGTGCGCACTGGCAAAATATTATGGTATCAGCCACACCGTTGGATAGGGCGAGTAGGTAAAAGCCAGCTCTTCGCATTCCAGTAACCAAGGTTCCCATTTAGTTCTTACCACTATTTGCGTCTCTTAGCAGATAGCCTCTTCGTAATGTTGTTAACTATAGTTCCCTGTCCCATTTCCAGGGCGATCTCAGCCAGCCATAAGTCTAATTAGGTTAACCTGCCTGAGATTGCTTTTGGTAAATGCACTTGCGTTTCAACCCTATGACGGTTGCAGTATAGTTGAGAATCCAAACATCAAAGAGATAATAGGGTGAGGATTTAGATATACCTCAGAGAAGGGATCTCTTTCCTAATAGCTTACTGTCAACAGAGCTACGTTATTAGCCCTATCAGGAACTTTCTATCTCCACTGAGTTCGTTGCGTCACCACTCACGGAAGTGGCTGCAACAGACATTCACCACATTAGATACCTCGCATGAAAGACCCAAGAGCTAGTTGCGCGTACAGTAGTCAATCATTCCTAGTTATCTTCCCTTCCCAACCTCCGCCCCTGCGGTAAATGTTTTCTCTGTTTATAAATCTCACATTTCCCGTTTGCCAGTGACATTTCTGAATCCAGTCAGCATCTAAAAAATGTATCTCGCTATCCCACAACCAAGTGTTAGAAGATTCAGGTGCTCCTGGGCACAATGTGGCAAGGTCGGCTCAATCATCAATTCGGTCGTCCGGCGGCGTGTAGAAAAGAGCCACACTAATCCTGCGCTTAGCCCTTCAATCGCAAATCCGACCTTTGTCGACACTACCGGACCCATACCAACACGCGACCATACCATTGCACCGTAAACGGGTGTGATAAAAGCTTCATCCAGCGCAGCGCCCTGACCGTCCATTTCCGAACACACACAGGGGAACGCCCCTATATCTGTAGCTTTGAAGGCTGTGACAAAGCCTTTTCTGATGTGGGTTGACTCTCAAGACAATATGGTCATTCCTTGGTAACATCACGCAGTCATCGAGTTTGGCCCGGCATCGCCGCGTCCACATAGCAACAATACTATACGAATGTCCCGAAATAACATGTTCAAAAAGGTATCCTCTGCCTCCATTCTTTATCATGAGTAAACACCATGAATAAACTAGACAGGAACCCTGTGATAGCTTTTCTCGCAGGGAAACACTAGTGAATCATTGGCATCGGTATCATCCTCCAAGCGAGATCCCACCAACGCGAGTGCATTCGTCCGAATTAATAGCGCAGACATACTATCTATCAACGGTTCCCCATTTCCCAAACAACAGTTTCCCCCCTTCCCAGGGCTACGCGTTCTATTCGCAATATGGTTTACCCACGAGCTCTACCGTGGTGCGAGCAAGTATACCGTGTCCGTCGATCATTTCTGTGCCAAGTATGCATGAAACGCAGTACCCAGCATCTGGTATAGAACATCTTGTCCGAAGCAGAATTAGTGATTATTAAAGTTTAGACCCCCAGTGGCGACCTGACGACCAGTTATCGGGTAGCTTGAGCAGTCGTTACTAGTTGTGTGAGTGATCTTGGACTAAGGAGACCAGGTTTTCGAAGATGTATTGCGGGTGTTGTATGGGGATTTAGCACTCTAGATGGTATAAGTTGTACTGGAGCGGCCTAACAGCATTGTATATGAATCACAGCCTAACCAAGAGAAGCTTGCTAATATACTCTAAAATCGTCAACTTACATCCCATGCAATGGTAAGTCAATACTGTGAACATCTACGAACTAAGATCTAACAATCAAAACTATACCCATAAAGACGGTAATGCGTTGAAAGGATCAGGACTTTGGCGCGCCGCAGGCTAAGCGGTTGTCAGCCAAAGCATTGCAAATTCGGTCATACCTGCTTCCTGCGCTTCAATTTGTCGATAGACACAGACATATGTCAAGGCAAACGCTCAATCTCAGGGGGTTCAGCATACATGATATGCCACAGCGGAGTCAGCAGAAACGAATAGAGTCTGGGATACACCTTGACCACCAACACCTTCTTCCACCCAACACTCTCATCCAGCCCATCATTCTCGTCGTCTTCCTCATTAGGCCCATCCCCTCCACGTCGCCCCATCCCCTCCCGACGAAGCCTCCTCTCCTCCATCTGATCAAACCAGCTCATATTCAACACAATAACATACGTAGTAGAAGTCCGATAATCAGCCGCCCGCCATTCACTCGGCGCCGGGCCCCCCAGAACCGACTCCAGCGCTTCCTGATCAACCACAAGCGGATACCCATGCCGGACATCTCCGGGCTGGTACTCCCCATACATAGATCTCATCAACTCCCGATGCCGTCTGCACCATGTTAGTTATAGCATAATTAGAAGTTAGCAACGCGGCAAAGCCTACCGCGAGATTTCCTCCTTGGAACAATTCTCCAGCGCAGGATCCTGCTGCACATTCCACTCAAGCTGGGGGAGAATTGCTTCCCCATCGCGGCCGCGTTCCCGCGCGCTGAGGAGAGTTTTCTCCGCGAAGCCTTTCATGCGCGAGAGGAATTGCTCCCATCTAGCTTCGTCATCGTAGGAGCAGGTGCGGTAGATGAAGAAGCCCCAGCTCTGGGCGCCGGTTTTGGTGAGTTCTTCGCGGACGCAGGTTGCGTCTGTTTTTTCGTAGGACATTTCAGAGATGAGGAGGAAAGAGGATAATGTAGTTGATATGATGAGTGAAGGATGGATGATTTGCGATGTGATGTGATGGATGCGAGGTGATCGTCGCCCATTAGTTGTTGTTAAAATATAATACCACTATGACTATGGATATGAGACCCTAGACTGACGAGGACCATGTCCGGACGCCTTTTTGGCCTAGTGGTATTATAATTCAATAGTTGTGGTCCGGTGAAAAAGGGGATTTCCCGGGTCACATGATTTGCATGCCTCTTGGAATCTCGGTAAGCAGACTTAGGGTTACCAACATATCCATGCAACCGAGTGCTGGAGGACAGGTTAAGGCATACTACGGACGCTATGGAGTTGTCAAGTTGAAATCGTCTACGTCTAACAAGGCGAAGACTTTATGCTTCATTACAGCCCTGTGCCCTTGATTTACATGTGCTCATGCAAACATATCCTCATGTATATATTTATCCAAATCTGAATGAAGAGACTGCGCAGCTAGCTATGTATAGGCTTAAGTGCATTAGACAGTAGAGTATGGCATCGTGATAGCAGCCACCGCAGTCTCCATATCTTTCAAGATATCCATGACGGTACCCTTGTTGGCGACGTTATATGCGTTTCGAATGTCTGTTATCCTGCTGTTCATCAGTGCGCGGACGTGCTTTACAACCTTGGTCATGTAATCTGGTATGAATTCAGTCCAGGACGTGGACAGGTCGGGGACACCATTGGGATCCCCCTCAATCAGTTGCAATTGCGTGTTCACGTTGTCGACAACCTGCTCGAACCGCTTTTTGACATCCGCGTCGTTCAGGTATTCAAAGACGGCAAGGATCTGCAAGGAGTGAGTGGCTGTATTACTCGAAGATCTGCTTCGAGTGATCACTTACAAGCTTGAGCGGCTTGAGGAAGTTTTCAATAGGGCCGCAATTTTCCACGGCGTCCTCTAGGTCTGCGTCAAATACAGCCTGATCTGGTGATTTAAAATCCCATAGCTGGGAGAGTAAGTAAATGTGGCGACAGTTGGAAGAAAGGACACTTACCAAAGCCTTCATTGAGTTGATTTCTTTCTGACAGGGCACAAACACAGCTCTGTTGCGACTAGATCCCAGCGCATCAAAAACACGGTCACTGGGCCTTTGTGGAGCATAGGAGCCTGAAACAGGCGTAAGCGTCGACGAGAGCACCGCAGAGCCAAAGTAGTCTTTCCACCATTTAGACCGAATCCCTCCCACTGACATCTGTACGCCGGATGGCAGTATCCCGGAATTCGGGGCCTGTACCCACGCCTTGATGGTTTGAAGCTCAACGATGTGCTCCGTGACAAACTTGCTCATATCAACATCATCGAGAGGCCAATCAATGACCTCCCAATCGTCGCAACTGTTGCTCATAACATCGAATGCGGTCTCAATGACAACCTGTCCATTGGGGCCTCTATAAAGCTTGCCAATTGACGGGTAAGGAAGTGACTTGAACGTGGCCTCGGTTTTATCCACGAGCAGTACCTTGAATTGTCTTTCTGCGCCTCTTTTCGCGAGAGACGAACGTCTGGTCAAGGTGCTGTTGCTCGTGCTGTTGCTCGATCCCGTGCCATTATCGAAGCCCCCATCGTCGCTCCCGTCGAAGCCCCCATCAACGCTGTCATAATCGTCGCATAAACCAGGATAAAGCTCGCAGATGTCTACCTCACAGACAGGGTTTTCGTCCAGTGAATCACAGGAAAGGACCAAACCAGTGGAACATCCAAGGAAGCTATTCTCGAAATCCCAGAAAAGAGAACTGGTCTCGTTTGAGATCGTATGCGGCGAGGGACCACCCTTATTATTATCCTCATCATCGCCCCCACCCGCAGCCCCGGATGCAATTACCCTATGAGAGCTGTAAGCCTGGATCACTGTTGAAGAGAAGGCGAACTTACTTGGCCTGGTTGGAGGACCCAATGACACGGTCCATATTACTATCTTCGGACCATGCAGTGAAGGAGTCAAGGCTGTTTTTATATGTGACTGTTGTAGTGGCAGGGCCCGTGCCCAGACTCACGTTATACGACTTGTCGGAACCTACCTGTAGGGCGTTGTATGTGTTCAACGACGCTTCCGTGAAGGCATTGACGACCTTTCCATCCGTCCCATATTTGTTGAGGGTGATGGAGAGACCGACCCGAGGGCGTAGGTCAATCTTGATTGTCCCTTCGGCTGCGTCAGAGATATCTCCGCTGAACTTGGTACCCATGGCCTCCTGCGCCGTCTGACCAGACGAATCCCCGGCATCATGAGGAAAGTTCTGGACGATGTTGGTACTCGTATAAGCGTGGACGCCGGTGGAGATGTTCCCCGCCAATTCGATATCGGCCACCATTCCGACATCTGCCATAAGTGTAGGGGCAAAAGAGATGATGCCGATGTGGTTGAATTCGTCCATTGTGATGGGGCTGGAGAAGAGGCTTTCCGTGGTGTAGTCGAGGTTAAAGGAGCCGTACATCGACATGTCCAAGTTCATCTTGGCGTCAATGTTGGTATCGACGAAGCTGTAGACCTCCTCGATGTCAATACTGGGACTGATTGTACCGACGATCGATACTGCCATCTTGGCGGTTGCCGAAATACTGCCAGACGCCACGATATCAGCAAACGCTTTGGCCGATCCGCACGATTTGAGACCCGAAAAAATACTCTGCGAGAAAGTCTTGCTGAATGCACTTCCGGATCCAGACTTTTTATTACGCACAGTAGCGAAGCGACTGCCCCAGTCTCCATCGCTGCTGCTGTAGAAGCGGCGGAGCATGGATCGCTTAGACGCCGGACTGGAATCCACGACAGTTTCCCAATATCCGCCAATATTAGCGTAGTCTGCGCGGAAATAGATAGACCCTGCATCACGCTTCACCAGACCAAAATTGTAGTCGAAGGTTAGTTCCTTAACGGTGGCTTTTGTCAGATGGGATAGATGGGCTGGCAATGATTGATCCTCGGCGACAGAGACCTCGTGAGCGACCGCGTAAGTGGCAGCACCGCAGTTATCGGGCATCTCGATGATGGTACCCGCGAGCCCGTCCAACATCATATGCTCGCAGTCGGACGTCGGTCCGTCATTTGTGCAAACAAAGCGGACTACAGATGTACATATTAGCCGAGCTTTTAGTACCAAGGGGCCATCAGTGTCTCACCTTTTTGCCGTTTCTCCCCTTGGATTTCATGGCAGTTTAGGAACTCCAGGTCGCTTCTGCTATCCGTCTCTCTTGACCTTTGCACTCGTCACAGCCGCCTCTGGCCCGTCAATGAGAACCCAACAGAAAGCCGTATTGACCGGGTTGCTTCCTTTCGACGCTCCCTTGGGAAATTGTAGATCGTACTTGACATAATCATTCGACGGCGGAAGGGTTTGGAAAATGTCCTTGAGATCAACCGGCAGGAAGGCCTGTTCGGCTGGCGCGTCGCAGCACAGAGCCTTCTGTCGACCCCCTAAATCATTCCAAACCGTTAGCAATGACACTAAACCGCTGCAGTAAGGTCACTTACAGTGACATGAACTCTTGGAGTCACCGTAAGAATTCACCATGAGTTGAATGTCATTGTCATCGCAGGTGTTGTCGGCACAATCCCCCTTACCAACCCAATGGCAATTGGTAAACTTCGCGGGGCTGGGACAGCAGTAGTCTCGGTTTTGAGGACCACTGTGGCTGTAAGAGTAGGCACACTTGTCTGGATCATGAACGCTGGCTACTTTCTCGTCGCCAGACAAACACCCTCCTCCACATCTACCCAGATAACAGTCTTTGATCTCACTTTCCCACTCGTCAGCTACACAGCAGAAGGCCTTGCGTCCGCGGCCGCATCTCTTGTGGTTGCCCTCGGTGGGATCCCCGCCCCACGAAGAGTATAGGAGCGTCATTTCTCCGCTGTGACATTGGCCATTGCAGTCGGATCCGTCGCCACGCCAGAGACAGGACTTCGGGTACGCGGTGGAGGGACAGCAGATCGGCTTGCCGTAGCCTGAACCACAGCCCCCGGCATCATACCCGATCCGGACCTGTCCGGTACCGCAACTGGAGGCTTGTGGGTTTTCCATGTCGACGCAGTCGTCAAAGCGCTTGCATTGCTGTCCATTCTTACCCGCCCAGTCCTGGGTCACAGCCTTTGCGTTCTCCAGTGGATTCTGGATGCCGCCTACAGGCTTGCCGAGAAGGCCTTGTAGACCGGTAAACTGTTTGTCGTCCATGTCCGAGGACCAAATCATGAGGCCGCCAAGGCTATAGAGCGTTAGTTCAGCCCTAACACGCTACCATCGGCTATAAGAAGAGTTTCACACCAGAGCCGTCTCTGAATCTGGCACCATGGTCGTATGAGAAGGGGAGAGAAACTGACCCAATGCCATTTGCCCAATCGACCTTTTGCTGGAAAGTCACATTATTATCAAACGATACCCACTGGTTGTCATCATAAACAAGGTAATTGACGGCATCTTCCTCTTCATGAACGAGGGTGACCTGCTTATCCGACCGTTTCATAGAGCTAGATGTCGTCGCGCCGTTCAGAATGTCCATGATTTCTATCGTGTCAGTCAGCCTTTGCTTCTTTTTTACCTTCCACGAGCTCAACATACCAAAGTAGCCCAAGATACCAGCAGTATTTGTACATTCACCAGGGTTGGCCGCACCGCCAAACGGACATCCGGGTTTACTACGATCCGGGTCCGCGAGCTGGAATGACCGTCCATAGAATCCTACGCCCAGGACGACCTTTGCGGGAGGGATACCAACACGCCACAGGAGCTCCATACTGGACTTGATCTCCGTCAAGTTGGTATGGCCTTGGACAATGCTACCAATGGGATTGTTGCGATCCCAGAAGCCGTGGAGGTCATAGGACATCATGTTAATCCAATCGACATACTTGACCATACCGGGAAGGTCGAACCACCGGAGATACCAGTAGGAGGAAGGGATAGTGAACGTGAGACCCAGGGATCTGGGAGACCTGCCAAAGGTCTCTCGGAGTGTCTTGAGGAGAAGAACATAATTTTCCGTGTCGCCTTCTTTACCGCCACGGTCTCCGGCTCCTGGATACTCCCTATTGCATTGGTTAGTGAGAGTCGCCTGGAGACAGGGCGTCCAAGTACGTACCAATCTATATCTAGACCGTCAAAGCCGTATTGGTCCAGGAAACGAACGACGTTATTGGCAAAGGTCTGCCGCTTAGAGGCGTCGGCCGCGATTTCGCCAAAGAGAGGCTGAGTGGCTGTGTTGTTGTCGGAAAACGTCCAACCACCGATGCTGACGAAGACCTCCAAATCCGCATTGCCCGTCTTGAATGTTTTAACGTCCGCGGTTGTCTGGAAGAGATCTTCAGGCGTTGCGCTATCCATCGTGGTTACCTCGTAGGTATCTGGGTCGATGTAGGCAAAGGCAAAGTTCACATGGGTCAGGCCATCAATGGGTAGCCCGTCTGGAGCCATCGGATGGCAGTCTCGACGGGCACTCCACGCTTCGTAGTATCCAATGACTGGTATCGCATTAGCGTTCGTTCAGACTCGGTTCAGTCAACATACCCCTTCGATAGACATCATCCGTGCTTGCACCCTCAGGGGGACTCGGATGCAACTCGCAATTGCTCTGACAGTCGCCAGAGCAAAACTCCTCAGTGGTACCACAGAAGCCATATTGAGAACAACTTGACATCGCCGTTAGCATATATCTCGCGCTATCTACTGATGCGGTCATACCAGACGTTGAGCGGACAGGTTTTGTTCCCTGTTTCCGAGTACTGACCACATTCGGCCACAGCGTCACACTGAGACACGCAGCCATCGCCGCAGTAGGTTGGTCCTTTTATTGAGACGGTCAGTGATGAGGCGCAAGTGCAGTTGGGATAGAACGAGCGAACCATATCCACAGTAGCCGCCTGCGCCGCAGCAGGCGCCATTCGAGCACGGCTTTTCAGCACTACAACTATAGTCATCTCGACCTTGTAGGCCATAAGCAGTTGATCCTCGGACGGCCGAGGATGAAAAGATGCGAAGTCCTGCTACATCCCATGATGAAGGAAATTTATGGGCAAGTAGTCCGAGACAGACAGCCACGCAGGTAAATAACAGGAGCAGATTCGGCCTGCGCCTTGTAGGGGATTCCGCCCTTGAACTTGCCATGACAGGTTCAGGCCGAGGCGGAAGTGTGAAATGAACCCAAAATAAAATGAATGAACAGGTTCTTTGCACGAACAAAAGAATGACTGGTTACAAGTTTAGGCCACTCGAGTCTTTGACTTACTCCTGCTTTATATCCATGGAGTCACTTCAAAACCTGACGCAGGGAATTGTAAAACTGAGTAATTGGTGTCAAATATTATACCGCTATGATTATGGTTGTGTAACCGTAGACTGGTGCGTAAATCGTCAAGGCACCTTTCTAACTTAGTGGTATTATATTTCTCTAATTGTTCATAGAAACCGGGGAGAAAGGAAGAAGCTATCAGAAGCCGGAAAGCACAAACAATAGGGGAAATGGGGGTCACCATTGAACTGATAGTCTAGCGGGCACTGTTACTGACAAGCAAAATATAGATTAGCTCAAAAGAGGAAGGAGATAAGACGAAAGGAGCCACTCGACGAGCTATGCACATTGTTCGTCCCCCTGACTAGCTAGCATGCATACCCACTAGGCTCTGAGAGGCTATATTAGCCTCAATGGCAGTGGAGACTACTCAAGCGGGACTCTGCTGGCGCCTGAAGATATAGGAACAAAGCTCGAGTTTAAAAATGTATAGAAGGCATGGTTATCTGGTCTCTTATGTTAGGAGTTTGACCAGACCATAACCTATAATAGTAATAGAATATATCATCTTAATAATAGAAGATTCACTCCTGCATCATGAATAATTACAGAGAGATGATATTGCCCTTTACATTTCTAAATTAGGAAGTATCATGGCTTTAAGGGCAAAGCCTATAAAGAGGGGAGGTAATTAATAAGGGCTATAGTGAACCATAAAGCCACTATATATAGTTAATACTAATAGTACAGACTATTAGATTATATAATCCACTGTAAATATTCTGTAAGTTACTAGGTATTCTATAACTCAGTAATTAGTTCTCCTTACTTAGGCAACACGCAGTCATTTGCTCCATTCACACTGATCTTACCAGTTGATATTGGCTCTGAATGGCCGACCTTACAGACCTAGCTTTGTAACCTTAGTAATGCTAGTAGTAGATACTAAAGCTAGTACACTCACTATTTAATCTACAGATTAAGCACTTCATCACAAGCACAGTTATATTCTGGATAAAATCAGGCCTCAGGGTTTCCACTCAGGGAAGAGAGTATAGAAGTTAGGCAGCCTAGCAGTTTATCCTTTGATTAACTGCTGAAAATCAACATGGGATTATAGGGTCGGAACTGTTCGAGTCATTTTAAATGAATAGATAAAGCTGGTGTTCAAAGGACCTTACTCCGGGTTCAGCGTTTTATACTCTGAATTTCCCGAATTCAAGCTGAAAGACGAAGCATGGCCGGTGGCAAGAAGACACTGTCCCAGCTTCTGCAGGGCCTGACAATCTTCAGCCAGAGTGACCCACAATTCAGTACGATCTGCTTGATCTCCTAGATCTGCTTTCAACAGCCTCTACGAATGACATGTCAGAACCAGTACGCCACCTTTTCTGCATTTGAGTATATCTGAGCTTTGGTCTTCGTCTCTAAATTCCTATCAATCACACCGCCAGTATCCACAATCCGAACGTGTACGACCTGATTGGGCTCCATGGCCCCATCCATCGGCAACATTGCCCTTACTATATACGCCTGCAGATTAGGTACATGAGAGCTGAACTGAAAGGAAAATGCACAATATTACATATCTTAATACCCTTACTTTCTTTGAACCTAGCACATACGACCATAGGGTGTGGAAAACAGGGCTTCCCGTCCGCTCAGCCGTACTTAAGCCACACGCCGGCCGGTTAGTAGTTGGGTGGGTGACCACCAGCGAATCCCGGCTGTTGTATGTTTTTTCTTCACCCATTCTTTTTGTCAGATATAACCATGATGCTCTATCTCCCTTCAGGCTGTGCTGCCCCTCTTTATCTAATGTAGATCGCCATAACAAGACTACCACGGACTAGCCGATCATGGACGTAGGTCATGTCCTTCGTCTTGGTTGGCATGATTATCGTTCGTGCCGAGGACCGAGAGCATGCCTCGTAACTGGCTTGCCAGAGCATGTACTTGACTCTGCAAATCATCTGGACTTAATGTCCCCTCCAGCTCGTTAAGGTCAGTTCTGAATCGCCCTATGAGGTCATTTGACGCCTGATGGAACGCTGCCACTGGAGACTGTTGCTGTCGCACCCAGAAACCAGTGATACAACTATGCCACTCTCCGTCGACCATGCCGGCAATAAGCCACTTCTCGGGACTGTCCAAGTCCCCGGCATCAAACCAGTCGTCAAACCCTTCCCAGCCGTCGTCCTCGTCGTAGTTGTTCGTAGCAAGAGAGGTCTCGCGGACACTCCGACGACTGAAGAATCTCTTAGCTTTCAAAGACGGAATGTCTTGGTTGGCGAACGCATTGACATTGGCGGCGTACACGCTCATGTGGTGCGCGGCCGGGTTAACCGCTAGCGTCTTCTCCATGATATGACTTTCGACGAAGACCCCACGGACTTGCTCACGTCCGCCGACGGGCTCCGTGACACGAAGGCCCAGAATAGGGAAGGCGTTGGCGAGTTGCATTGGGGCCAGTTGAAGCAAACTCCCGACGAAATCAGGATTGTGAGTGCCTAGACGAGTGGCGAGATGGAACAGTGTTTTGACATAATCGAAGTCTGTACGTGGAATGGGATCGCCTTCGTTAACGACCGAGAGGATGAAGTCCACGGGGTCATTCGGAGAGAACGATCGTGGCGTAAGAGGCGGCGAGGTCACCGGCGGGGCTCCAAAGGTGATGCAGTGGATGGATTCGAAGGCTAATAGAAATAACGGCAACAATGCAATCAGTATGTTCCTTCTTATCGAGCGGCAGCACTCCACTGGGTGGTTGTCTTACCAACTCCAAGTTCTATGGACATATGCTGCTGTTCTTGGCGGCCGGTGTATTTGCTTCGGACCAGGAAGTCCCAGCAGAGGGCAGCGACAGCACCGCCTAGCAAACGCAGCTAGATTAGTACTCCATCCACCAAAGCAAGGGTCGGACGGTCTATCTAGGGATAATCGTACCCGCCGAATGACCCGTCAGGAGCAGCCGCGGCTTCACTCCCCCTCTTCGATTTGCAAGATGTGCTCTCAGGGCAGTGGAAATGCGTTTTCTCATAAGAACCGCGACAGAGAACAACCCGGAATGGACCTTCCTCCCTGCTAATCCCTAGACAGGTTTGCGTTTAGCGGTGCAATTTAGGGAACGGAGTGAGAGACAATGAATACCAGGTCCTCCTGCATATCGACTGGGTTACAGTCAAAATTAACGACCCAATCCATCCACGTCCGACTCCCCATAATAGCAACGACAATCGTACCTCCCTCATCACCATGGCGTTCATCCAGGACAAACTTGATATCCGTGGGTTTCTCTAGTCCGGTCCTCGAACGGGGTAATCGGATTTCTCGGGGTTCCCCAACAAGACTGTCTACCCTTTCAACATCTGACGGATGTATCGCTACATCAAGTGCGCAGTCTGGACGGATATATACCTGATGACAGGCATGTGCGGCCAGTTGCATAAGGGGCATTATAAGTGTGGGTGGCGCTTCTTCAGTTGCAGCCGTCGCAAAGGTGGATGATGGTTCATGCCAGACTAGATTCGTCGGCCAGGAGCTGTTCCGATAAACGGCAGCCGCACCATTAAATGTCTCAAGGGAGATGTCGTCGTTCAACGCGTCCACAGTCCCTTTACAACGTCATAAAGACGGATTAACCCTCTTATTCACTTGAGCCTATAATGAGCGACCTCACCCTTTTCAGCGACGTTGAGCACCTCCTGGATCTCGCCCAGTATCTCGACGGCCCTCGCTGCATTCGTGGACGCGTTTCCCATCAGGATCAATGCCGTCGACAAGGCATCCACCTCTTGGATGAGACGGCTGTCCCCAGATGTAGGGAGCACTTCTGAGGATCGCGTTACTGATGCCTTTCCCGTGGTTCCCGCGACCGTGGACGTCGCTCCCGCCGTAGCCAAAGAGCTTGTGGTGGCTTCCCGACCCGCGCGAAACCGGAGTAGCCGGGGGATTTTAATGGTCTTGTCCTTCTTCCTCTCCTTCTCCTTTCCCTTGGTGAACAGGGTAAACGACATCTTGCGAGAGAGCAACCGACCACTGGAGGTCAGATTTTGAATGAGTGTCTGCCTGCTTTTCTCTGGTCGGATCTGACGTACCGAGTTAAATATATCTGGGGGTGAACCCCTCATTCCATGCCAGGTCAGCCGCATTGTCAGCCGTACTGGTGGCGTTTGTGGTTTTGTTGAGGCACAAATACCCGAATGACTGCCGCATGACCATTGGCTCAGGGACCACACGAACCTCGATCTTCCACTGACAAGCTGCTCAAGGCCTTGGAGACATCCCAACTCGAATTTCCTGTCCTCAGAGTGGTGCTCTCCAAACTCTGGAATGATCGATCATCAGGCTACCCCAGAATGACACTTCCTGCGAGCATACCGTGGGTCTTGCGCGGTAGCGATGAGGGAGCCTTCAAGAGCGCAGTGACTGATCTTTATTGGCGCTCGGTGGAGGAAGAGGCACGTCATCTCGTAGTGGCCCTCGCTGATTTGATAAAAGACTGTCCCGAGCCCCTGGCCATTGAGAAGGTCCAAGCCCGGCCGCATCGTGCGAGGCAAAATCTATTTGCGAAAGCCTGGAGTGAGTGCTCTCCTTTCCTCTAACTAGTTATCTTGCAAGTCAAGGCCCAAGAATTGTTCAGCTCACTCCCTGCCAGGCAATGTCGATCTTGATGACGAGGCCCTGGAATCCGTGAGGGCACTGTATGGACGCTTCTCGGGGGGTGAGTAGAGTAGACTCTGATCTCCGAAAGGGAGGGCTTTTCTGAGGCTAACAAAGTGTTCAAGATGATTACGGGAAGACGCTCATTGAAAGGCGAGCGAGGCAGATGCTCCAGGCTGTTGGTATATCACCGAGTGGTGCCGATCGTGTCGTAGATGCTCCTTGGCTGAACTCGAATAATCCGCAGGCTGGCTGGATATAGATTTCGTACATCAAGATCGCCCACCGATCTACCCATCCATGTCCGGCCTTCCCAATGGTGAGTGTGCTTCGCAACGTCAGCCGCAAATACTAAAACCGTAATTCGCTAGTGGATGAATTGGAGTATGGTAATGTGATCCGGGCAATGCAATGTTCGCTCTGCCGGCGGTGTATTCGCACGCAATACTTTGAATGCCGCAAAGGCTGTTTGGATAGGTCAGGCCAAGATCCTTCTGACAGCTCTTGGTTTTAGAAGGACCGACACTAACTCCTCCTAGGTCTTCAACTCACAATTACTACAAGTGCTTTCCCCCAGCCAACGAGAAGTCTCAATCAAATATTTCACATCTCCTGCCACGCTTGATGTTGACGCCTTTCAGGCTGTGTTTTTCCTGTATGGTGTCGACAGACAAGATCATCCCCGACGCAGATTGCACCTATCTCAGGAGCGGTTACAAAGACCGAGTCAAGCAGGAACCGCACCTGAGATCCGCGAACTTCACCAGCAGACGCCAGAGTCCCAATGCCCTCGCGTTCCGACGGGAGCTCAATGCACTGGAGGACTTTCAAGAAGGTTGACAGGCCGCAACGAGTGGGTTCATGGCCATGATCCTGGCCAGAGTAATGGGATCGGGCTTCCGGGGAAAATTTCCTGCGGGAAATGTCCATATGGCTTTTCGGTTTGGTCCACTTGCATTCGAAAATGGGGTTCGTCAGTAAGTTTGATCTTGGTTTTACCCATTCTTTTCTTGTCAGAGGTGGGTTGGTGGGCTTTTGCAACATCCATAATCATGTTGTCCGAGGTTTCTCCTTTCACAGATACATTCCCTTTCGAGGATATTCTCTCTTCTCTTATCTCCCTTGACCGATTTCCGCAAAGACAATGACTGCCTCATTTCTGACAAGCAGAGCAGCTCCCAATCTGGCGTCCTGGTAAACCCACGAGAAATGCTCAACATCGCATATAGCCTGACACCTTCTTTGGTGGGCGATAGGCTCTCTTGCGAGAAGATCGCATTAAGTCCATCCCGAGAGACATACACCAAGACAGAGCCCCGCCATGTGCAGCGTACGCTTGCAGTCATCAAACAAGTCTGTGGAGGCTTCGGCACGGGCTATTGTGACAGTTGGGTGATGGCTGAGGAGAATATCATAACCATAATGGCCAACGCCGCTGCTGCCCACCAGTCACACCATCCGATGGTACCGATATCGAAGAAGAGAGCAGATATCCACAATGCCGCGGCGGAGATGGTTGCACTCATGCGCGACGCCGTTTCTGATGCTGTCGAGTTTCACCTTTCTCGTATCTCGTCTCATCTTTTCGCTGCTTCCGTGAAGCTCACTTGGCACCCGCTGAAAAATAATTGCCAGACATTTTGCAACCTTCTCCTCCAAGCGAAGCACTTTAACACCGTCCACCCACCCTTCGTCACATCGGGAAATCAGCTACCTGGCTTCGGCGACCTAGAAAGCCCGTATCTGCACTCCTTCGCCTCCTCAACTCACTTTCCACTATTCGCCGAACAGAAAGACTTGGACAAAGCCTTACGCCACTCAGACGTCGGCGCGTATATGTCCTCCTTCCACAACACCGCGGACCTTGTTTCTTTCGCGTTTGGGCGGAAAATCATTTTCGACTTCAGAACCCCCCACTTCGAGGACCCGGTCCTCTGCAAGCAATGCGTGAGCTGCGACCACAAACTGCCCCAATCGTCCGCTTTCGAGGAACTGGCCGACCTCATACGCCTCTCGGATCATGTCCTCGATGACCCTTTCGGGGCGGTGACTCTCCTGGCCTGTCACTTGGATCGCCCGCGCCCGCTCTATGTCGACAAGAAGGGCTGGGCCTGGCACGGAAGCGAGAGCCAACGGCGGAGAAGGTGGGCCGAGAACCGGATCCACGTTCTTGCTGCTCTGAATGTGTTCCTGTCTTTCACAAAGTCTGTCTTCATTGCATCCTACCTCCTTGTCCAGGGCAAACCCAAGGAGGAAGTGCGATTCCGCGTCGCCGATAGCAACGTTGCTGGCAGGGCTGTTTACAAGACAGCACGGGAGGACTGTCTGGATTGGTCGGATGATTGGGAAATGCAACCGGTTCGGTTGCCCAGTGGGAGTGTGCGCCGCAGGTTGCAGGCGACCCTTGTGTGGGCGATGTCTTCTGGATCTGCAGGGCGTGCTACGTGGAGACAATGCCCCTGCCGGTACTGCGGAATGAATGACGATCAACTAGATGAAATCTGTGGACGAGGTGGCTAATTTTCTCCTCTTTCAGTTTTTACCAGAGGAGTTCTCACTACATTAGTCTTTTCATGCTTATTCCAAGCACATACGACCACAGGGTGTGGAAAACAGGGCTTCCCGTCCGCTCAGCCGTACTTAAGCCACACGCCGGCCAGTTAGTAGTTGGGTGGGTGACCACCAGCGAATCCTGGCTGTTGTATGTTTTTGTTCAACTCTTTTTTTGACTCGCTAGGCGCCCTCGCCGCCCTGCTTTCACTCTGTTCACCCGCTTCGCCTGCATTTCCCGTGAAGCTGGCCTGAATCTGAATATTGCTCAGTCGACACACCGCATACCCCTTCTCTGACTGACCTGGCATCTTCTGACGTCCAAAACGGCCCCTTATGTAAACTACGTGTTCACCTGAGACACTAATCTGTACTCCGTACACAGATCACGAGCACTTGAACTTGTCCTTTCAAACACTGCTCGCCTGTGTTTGCTTGTCCCTAACTCCCTGTGGTGCTCGTGATGGCTACCTCACTCAATTGGGCCTGAGATATCCTTCAAGGACCGGAAGGTTTCTATGCAACTCGAGGGGAAATGGCTGAAGTCAATCTCAAGTCAGACTTTTTCAAGAATTTTTGAATTAATGAATATAAGCGCATGGTCCAGGCACTGGTCAAGAGTCACCTTCAAAAGCAACGAGACAGCATGGACTTAATCCAAGGCAAGGCGTCTGAGTAGGTGGCTCTCCTTCACAGCATGCCAGTGTGGGCAAGACGGCGACGGCGACGGCTATGACCCAGGTAAATGAAAAGACTCTGTTCGCTATACTTGCATCTTTCCTCTTATGCTTACTTATACACCTTTTCTCCTTCGCCTCTTTCTCTTCCAGTATTAGGGCTTAGCCCAGCGAGAGACTACAACTATGATCCTCATTTAATAAAATTCTCTCTCTGAAGACATTACACACTCTAGAAGCTAGAAGGGTCTTCCGTTCATTTTTACCAGTCATTGTTCAGTTAGCCAGTGTGCAATGTTATTAGTCTCTAGTGATGTGCATTAAAGACTCGTGCCCAGGGTAAACGCTACCTTGCCTAAGGATCTCTCCTTATCCGGAACTATTTGACTGCTTTAAAGAAGCTCCATCCACCTGGGATCATCACCTCATACAGATACAATAGCTTAGCATGCTGCTTCGCTTCGCAACACCTTAAGCAATCTAACTATCGAGGTGATGCTGCTGGTGCTGCTGGTGCCCGTGGGGTGCGTAATCGCAATAGCAGCAGCGTGGCGGAAGGTAATGCTTGCAAATTTTCATTTTGGCTGTTTTTGTCCATTCAGTCCGCCGTGCCTCGCCTCTAGTAGCTCACTCTGGCATTTTTCTACCAGCTTCAAACACCTTTGAGCGCTACCTTGCTCGCCTCTGTCCTTATAACGCTCTGCCAGAGCACTCATTGTGGTCAAGACGTGTTCGTAGCTGGTTGACGTACACTGCTGGTTAGATTCTCTTGTTTCTTGAATAGCTGCAGCGAACTGTTTCTCTGCTTCCAAAAGCTTCTCCTGCAGCATGTACGCTGACCCCAACGTAATCAGCACGCTCGGCCTATGTGCTGAACTTGGCACTCGAGAGTTTTGCAGCTTATTCAAAGCTCGCTGGCATAGAGCCACAGTTTCGTCGAGTTCGAAGTCTCTCAGGTGGACATGGCACCTCATGAGGATGACCTCGCAAGAGAATTGAACATCACTCTGCCAAAGCGATTCCCAGTCTTCAGTCGTCGCGTTGTCGCAGAGACTCTTCAAGGCCCCGTACTCCTCCAGTTTGAAATAAAGATTGGCAAGGGGGAAGAACATGGAAGCCTTGGCATAATCAGCCGAGTTCTCTCGATCAAACGTCTTCCGTGCTTCGTCTAGCAGAGCCTTGGCCTCTTCGTTTTTTTTCTGGGAAATGCACAGGTAAATCCGAGTACAAAGAAGGTGGAATGATTGTTGGCAGCTCCCCGCCTGGCCTGTTTCTTCCTCGCCTAAGTAGTTCGCCATCCGTGTTTGCATATCTTCCGGCATGTCCTGCGCGAGATATTGTGTCCATAATCGAGATATCAGGTACTTTTCGAATAGGAGACCCGATCCCTCGCCTTGGGAGGATATTGAGGGTCCTAATAACAGTTTCTCGCCCTCTTCAGTCTGTCCTCTGAGAATAAAGATCCGTGCCAGTAGAAGAGTGAACGAACGTTTCGCGCGTCCTTCATCGACATCAGGGTCGACGCTGAACTGTCTGAGGGTATCATTGCACAAGTTTTCTGCCTCGTTATATTTTTTTAGGTTGGTAAAAATGCTAATCATGAGGAATTTGAGGGTAAATGTAGCTGGGTGATAGTAGCCAAACCTGTTCTTGACCTGTTCATGGAGGCTTATGCACACCTTCTCGACAGCTTCTGGTCTGTCTCGGGCGAGGAAGAAACCAATAATATTGCACATTTGCTCCACCTGGGCTTCTGTATAGCCCTTAAATAGCCGCTTCTGAGAGAAGAGATCAACAATGCGGTTCGCGTGAGCTAGTAACCTCTGCGATATGTGCCAGAACGAAGGAGTGCTTTCTCGCGGTAATTTGCTAGCAATACAGCCCAAAGCCAGCGAAGACATTCCATAGTCCCAATCCCTATTGAGGACATGGATAGTCCAAGAATGCACACAGTTATGTATCCGGAAGCCAATTGAGCCACTCCTATTGTTTGTCACTTCTGCAGGCAGCTCGATCATGGCGTGCTCATGGAGGATTCGCACCGCGTCGCTGAATTCAAGTTCATCCGCTGTGAGAGTTTGGAGCCATTTTGGCTTCTCTAGCCCATCCTTCGTCTCGAACAGCTCAAACCACAGATCGTTATTGTCAAAATAAGCACAGAAACATAAGAGTTTAGCAGCAAGTTTGCTGACTTTGCAAATTCGATTTAAAGTAAGATCCCAGGTGGAATAGAGAGTAAGATTATATTGATCAGACGTTGGTGTCTTCTCCAGCAGCCGGAGCCAAGATTGATTGTATGCATCCAGATATTTCGCACAGCTGTATAGATAGCGACGCAGGTATGTACCCGCTGCCACTAAGGCAAGAGGAAGGCCATCTAATGTTTGTGCCAGTCGTTGTACATCCGGATCTGAAGCCATGTCAACCCTTGAGTCAATGCAAAGATGATGAACCTACTTACCATCCCGCAGGGCGGGCTTTTTGGAACACTTCAGAAGTAAATCCACGCTAAGGCTCATGTCTGTAAATTTCTCGACTGGAATATGATGAAACACGTCTGATTGTGGCCATCTGGATGTGATGAGTATGTGTCCATGATTGGTTCGAATCATTCTGTGCAAATTCCAGTTCTCAAGGCTGGAATCATCCGCCGGACCCTGGCCATAACCATCGCAAATGACGAGCCATCTGTCATTCTGAGTCTGGCTTAGCCAGTCAATCACGGCTAATGATGCCTTTTCGATATCTTGCGATTCTAAGATCTCTTTCCAGCCCGGCGAGGAAGGGTTCTGGAGGTGAATTCGCTCTGCGACTGCGAAAAGACTCTGCTTAACAGTGTCCATGCTTCGGCAATTTACCCAGTAAATCGCGTCATACTCGCTTTCGTAGACCTCTGCATATTTCAGTGCAATTTGTGTCTTTCCGATGCCCCCTAACCCACTCAGAACAACCGTTATCCTTGACCGACCCTGCTGGAAAAGCAACCATATCTGGGCGATTTCCTTGCATCGTCCCGTATAGAAGGGGACCAGTTGTACCCCATAAAGCCAACTTTTAAGCTTATATACGACATGGTTCGCTTCCGTTGCTATATCAAGACGCGTTTCAGCGTGTTATACCGGCGCAGGTGATATCAATCCCAGGCTCCATACCTGTATTGGCTCGCTCATGCGGGGTCAACCTTTGAGCCTGCAGCTCAAGGGAAAGCTTGGTCAAACTTGGAATCATTTTATGTTTTTGTTCGAAGGTGCATATAAAAAAGAGGCGATCAATGTTGAGAACTAAATGATTAATATAAGCCTCGTCAACACCTTCAACAGTTGACTCAGAGGGATGAATGGAAAGTTGACGCGAGGGACAGTGATGGTCTGGTTTGTATTAAAAAGACCCTGTCTATTTCCCCTGAATCCTGACACTAAAAGGTGATGAGGCTGTGAACTGGACACAGACTAATCCCATTGGACAGTAAAAAGTACCACCTTACCTAGTGCCCTGAGATTTTAGTCTTTTGGCGAATGAAAAGATATTGACTGTGTATTATGTTGGTAGGTACTTCGATACTCTGGCCTGTAAAGTATGTTGACTGCTACACCCATCAGATTGCATTTCCAACATGAATGAACAGATAACTATTAACATCTTTACCCCCTCAACTGTCTTACAATAAGATTTTTATTAATATCCTCAAGATTCTCTTGCACTTTTAGATGTTCTGCCATTGTTAAGCTTGAGATTAAGTCTAGTAATATAGTGGTTTTGTTTGTGTAAGTAACTAGTCCTGACTGACTGTAGGTTAAATACATAATTATAGAAGTTTCTATTCTTGTCAAGCACTAAGCTATTTGACTTGCATCAATTAGCAGGTCATTGTTGACTTATTAATTTGAGTTACTAAGATGCGATATCTGAAAGAACAAGGACCAACTTTAGCACTCTCTACATAAGCAGTTTTTAGGAAGCTACTGCTCACTTAAAGCATTGCCAACGCCCAAGTCACTTTGAATTTCGATCAGGGCGCATATATCGCATTTTGACTCTACTTCTTCTCTGTAGACATGCCGCTGCCTCAAGAAGCTACTATCCTGGGAGGAATTGCAGCTATTCAACCCTATTTTTGAGGATTCATATTTATCTTTCGATTCGGCGATATTCAACCGAGCCATCAAGAAGTCATATCACCAACTTTAAATCTAGCTGAACATCAGGCATATTGGCGATAAAGCTTCAATGCAGTTGAGGGAAACCTCAAGCAATTGGAAGACGTCTGTTAGACGCATCATAAGCTGGCAATGAATGGATCTTCTGATGACGATGTATAATCTTTGAGTTCAAAACCTTGGAATCGAAAGAATTGAGTTGACAGTGGCCAAAGATCTGAATGCCTTCCTACAGAGTCATTCCTTCCTCTGCCTCTACTCCTGGAGTCCAGAGCAGCACAGTAAATCTACTCTGTTATAGGCAGCAAGGCATAGCTCTGAAGTAACCATTTAATAATTCCTTAATATCAGGGTGGGCGTGCACTGTATCCTAATATAGGCCCTCTATATTACCTAGTCTGTAAGGGAAGCACCTCCTATACATAAGATATAATGCCTAATCTTCATTTTAATATTATACTATCTAGTATATAGCTGCAAATAGCTACACAGAAACTATGGTAAACTTCTAGATTATAGTATTAATATTAACTTTAAGGATCTTTAGGGATAAAGCCCCCTTGTTTTAGCAGCCCTTAACTGAGTTACTAACTTTATCAAATACTAGGAAGAACTTAGAGGTGGATTGGCATGAAGATACAACTATCAGAGAGCTTTATATAAGGATCTAAAGGCTCTAAAGCAGTGGTTTGACGAACTTTAGAAGGTTTGATTACAGTATGGAATTTTGGATAAAGACATCTATAATTTTATTGAAACTGGCTTTGCCCTKGGTCTAATAGCAACTACTAAGGTACTTACCAGAGCTGATATGCTGAGAGAGCTCCGCGAGCAAAGCTTATCTTCTGAGCAGCAAGGGCAAGCTCGCTTCGGTCGGCAACGGTTGATCAGCACTAAAATATCCTTCCTGTTGCACCGCGGCAAACAATCAATTGGCTGTGATGAAGCTATTACTTGAGAGCTTGTCCAAACTAATCTTCGTTCCATTGTGCGTGCGCAGAAACAAACCAATCTGAGCGATGGTTTTCAATACGCGGCCGGAGATAGACCTCATCGGGGAACGCGTGCCGGGAACAGGATCCAACAATAAGGCGTGGTTGAGTAGATGGTGGGTCTGATTGTCTACCTGAGTTAGATCAGTGAATCACCCGAAGCTCCACTGCAGTAATTTTTTCCGAAGCACACGCAGTGCTATTTATAAGTCAACTGCTCCCCGAGCTATCTACGGCATTTCTGTTCTGCAGCGGCCCATTCTTTCAAGAAAACAATTTTGTCTTTCATTTTCTACGTCACTCGTTAATTTTCTACGTCACTCGTTAATTAATCAAGGCCTACGCGAACATTCCCTATATCAATCTCTTGAAATGCAGTCCAAGGCGCTCGCTGGTCTTCTTTTTCTTCTCACTCCGGCTCTGGCCATACCCCAAGCTACGTCCGTGGCTTACTCCGAGTCTTCTAGCTCATCTGACTCTTCCGACTTTACCGACTCTTCGGACTTTACCGACTCTTCGGATACTGTCGCGCTTCCTTCGCTACCAGCCGACTTCATTAGCGTTTTAGAGACCGCTGTCCCGGCTTCTTGGGAATATGAGATGATGGACCCCGCCTCTGCAGCCGCAGTCATAAGCGCCGCTGCGGCTGGCACGTACCCAGCCTGGTACAACGACCTGCCAGCAAGCATCAAAGCTGCTGTCACTGCTCTTGGCGGCTTCGACGCGGATATCGTTGGTGAAACTGGTTCAATGACCACGGCTGCAAGCACTAGCTCATCCGGACATGTCACTGAGACTGCTTTGGCTACCACAGTCAGTAGCTCAACTGGCTCAGTCGCCATGGAAACTCAAGCTTCCACTCAGTCTTCTGCTACCACGAGTGCTGCTTCTAGCCACAAGTCGGCAACCCCTACGTCTGCAATCCCCACGTCTGCAATCCCCACGTCTGCAATCCCTACGTCTGCGAGCTCGACTGGTGGAGCACCCATCGCTACTGGCGGTGTTGCTCTGGGCGTTGCTGGTGCTGCTGGTCTGCTAGGTCTTGTCCTTGCCCTGTAGTTTGTTTTCTTTGGTCGCATTGTGGGTGTAGCAATTGGGGGATTCTTTCGCTGGCTGCATACACGTGTGTTAAGTCCAACACATCATCCACACTGCCCATATTATTATATGTATCGAGGACTTTGCAGCAAGGCTCTGCCATTACATGGACGGTGTACCATTAATGCCCTACTACTTTTGAATGTAACAATCAGCTCGGATACGTATGTTTCAGCCGTCCTGGTTCCTGCTGCCTCCTAGTCAAAATTTTTTGCTAGCATCGCCAACACTAAGGCTATAATAATGTGGTGGAGAGTATTCACCCATACACACCTTTTCCATGACTAATATGCTTCATAGTCCTATCCCATGTAGCATTAAATGCTCAAGTGCGGCATTTAACAAGTTAAGGTTTCAGCCAAACCAAACCCTAATATCTCAGAGCCTCAGAGGTGGGGTGGGCAATTCAAATTGTTCTTGATAGAGCATAATGAATAATGACGCTGATCTTTGCAGGGTCCTAGCAAGATTTCTTGCAAACCACCTGGGCGACTTTCCAATGTCTACTATTCCATTATATTACACCACAGACTGAATGGTCAGTAAGTTTTCTAGACGCCTCGCTGCGGCAGTCAGTGCCGAAGACATTGAACTCCAGATGCGGAATGGGATAAACCAATGAAGACTGTGAGTGCATACAATCAGTTACCATCACAATCCATATAAAGTACTAGTAAGTACTATACTGATACCACCCTTCCAGGTTATACTGGCAATGAGCGACCACAGCTGTTGACTAGACTTAATAGCCTGGTCAGCGCGTATGCTCTGTCAATGTATCACTGGCAAATAGTAACCGCTTTGACCTGGTTTTCAATTACTCACCTCGCGACTTTTCCCTTTTTCCAATAATAGCTACGACAACACAAGTATCTTCGCAGCCTAAAGGACCAGGAGGTGCGGTGGGAAGAACGACCTATTGCAAGACAAGTCTCACCTGTGACACCTGAACACCAGAGGACATCGCTGATCCGGATTCTGTGGCGTTCACGACGGTAGCTACCGCAGCCCTAGAAGTGGAAGCATTTTCCGGTAGAGTTATTTGCCGCTATGTTCTTCAAAACGTTGCCTAGGATATGAACAAGCTCTCGTGACTCTAGTAGTCGGTCGTAAATCTCCGCGTCGCTGCTGGAGGGTTTCAAGGTCTGTCTTTTTCGGATCGTCTGGATTTGCCCACACAGCTTATTCGAGTCTCTCAGTGTTGTTCACAACGCCCGCGAGCGTGAGATCCGTTTATTTCGCATCCGAGCCAGCTGCGCTGCGTTACACTTGCGAGATTTTCGAGCTCAGTGCCGGTGACTTTGACGCGCTTGGAGCAGAAGCAGGACCGGAACTGGCGCTGTGTCGCTTTTGAGCGAAGGCATCTGCTCGTCAGGCGCAGGTTGCCCACATCCGTCAAATCTAGCAGTCTGACAATGCTTCCGATGATCTCCAGAGGACAACTCTCCAAGCCAACCGTCATTATGACTATTGAACTGTTGACTGGTTGGATGTAAGCACACGGGACGGAGATACTGATTTCTCAACTGAGCGGGGTGAAGCCAGGATACACGTGACTAAATACTACTCCAGCTATCCCTTACCCCAATGCCCAGTGTATCATTTTAGCGAGGAATCTGTGCACCTGAGTCTGCTCTAGTACTGTGTGTATACCTATTTATTCCTAATATACTATCTTATGTGAATTAAATCTATGAGTATAGTAATATGGGAAGGTGTGACTTCGCAATGTAGCAGCACTTCGATCAATCCATCCATTACGCGGGTAGCAAACATTATTGGGACCAGGAACCATAGTCCAATGAATAGTATTCCCCATATTGTACCATCATATTAATCTACTTGGATCTAGGCGTGGTAATGAGTGAAGTATATAAGGCTGGATGGAATGGAGGATGGGAGTCTGGGACGAATCAAGCTTTTGGTTAAGCTTTTTGTGGGGAAGCGCCTTAATTTAGACTAAAGATAACTGGTCGATTAAATATGCATTCAGCCAATGCAGATGGGGATCAGAGCCTTGATATGTGAGGCCTATCCATCACACCAGAAGGGCCGAGAAGCTCCTTATGCCAGCTGTGTCACTGGCATGATATGTATTTTCGGGCACTCGTCTGGATTTGTGGAGCTACCCCCAGATTTTTAACTTGATTGGAAACACTCAGTTCAATGCGTCTGCGTGGTCCCCAGGCTTGACGACTGCTGTGACTTTGTCTGTCACCAAAGAGAAGAATTGATGACGAGGGTATTGGAGGCGGGAGTTGGCGTTGTCGACATGTCTAGACAACTCTATAGAAGTGTGGTATATATACCAAAGGATATAAAGAGGCTCAGATAGAACCGACCACAGCCAAGGCTCTGATTTGAATTCAGGGGACAATCTCATACAATAAAAGGGGCTTGTCTTCATGGTCATCTACCGGCATCCTCATCCTCCCTATCCACCTCTCCAGTCTCTTCACCGGCCAATCGTTTTAACCTGGCTCTAATGATTGGGTCTTTTTCCATCTCCTGCCACATCCCGACATCCAGTTTAACCCCGTTCTCTCCGAGCCGATTGCCTCTCTGCTTCCAAGGTAGCCACATACCAGCCACTTTCATATTCCTCTTCACCGATTTGTATACAAGCTCTAAAGTCACAAGGACCATAAGTACGAGTACCAGGGTCAGCCACCAGATTGGATCTCGGCCAAAGGTCTTCGTGAAGCCATCTCGGGCCGCATATGGACTTGGTTGCCACGCATACGCGCCTGCCAGGAAGGCATTCCACGCCCACCAACCAACGACGGTGATTGAGAAGGAGGAGAGAGCGATGACGGTCTTGTAGTGGGTTTCGATGATACTGCGTTAGATCCAATGTAAGTCTCAGTTCGCACACCTCAACATAGGACGAAAGAAAAGACAACGGTGTATACCTACAAGAGCTTCCAATTCGTCCAGATGATCCCCAAGCTGAAAACCAGGTCGCCTAAGGCAAACAGACCCTGGTCGGTTGGGTTGCCGAACACACCGTAGGCTGCCCAGGACAAGAACCATACGACCATTCCTTCAACAGTCGCACAGATCATCCAGGCGAGATACTTCCGGAGATTCAGACCAGCATTAGTCTGTCCGTAGGTGTACAGCTCAGGCACAGCCAGTAATGTGTCGGCACTGAGGTCCTGCTCAAACACGCCCATGATGATCACACACAAAGAGGTAAACAGCGTGTTCAGTACTGTGAGCGACCAAGACTCGTACAATGACGTGCCAGTGTACCCATTATAACGCTGATATAGTGCCTGCATCATGTAGAAGAACATCTCTTTCCAGAAGGTTATAAGAATGAACTTGGCCGTGCGGACGTAGTTCCAGCGGCCATGGACCAGAAGCAGGCGCTGGAGAAACCGGAATTGAGCGATACTGTAGTCCGCAACCCGCGCGGCTTGCAGCCCCTCTTTGCCGGAGATACCGACACCGACATGCTAGTTCTATTTAGCCCACTTTTATACAATTGGGGCAGTAGCGGCGAGACGAAGAAAATCTCACTTACCGCAGCCTGAATCATGGCGATGTCATTGGCACCATCCCCAATAGCCAGAGTCAGTGCCCCAGGCACACAGGCTCCGATCGTCTTCACAATACCGGCTTTCTGCGCTGGACTCGCACGGCAGCAGATGACAGAGGCAACAGATGTGATTAGAGAGTAGAACAAGCAGCTCAGCCCCGGATCCGCATCCAAGACGGCAAGGGTATGGCCATCAGTAACAACAACGCTATTGCCAGAGCCAGACTTGATGTTGTCTGAGACAGCTCGCATGCGACCTTCCAAGTCACCGTGTGTGGCATCCAGAATGAACATTTTGGAACCTGGCTCGCAGATCCGTGCCGAGTGAGCGATTTTGATGGCCGTCTCGCGCTTGTCGCCGGTCAACATCCAGACTTGGATCTTGGCTCGTCGCAGCTTTTCGATCGTTTCTGGGACACCTTCCTGCAACTTGTCCTCAATCGCAGATGCACCAAGGAGGTCCAGGGACTGCTCGATCAGCTCACCGGCCGCTTCAATGCGGTCTTGGCGATCGGTTAGAGAGGTCGTCGCTTCCTGGTACACTTTCTTCCAGTTGAAGTAGTCTTCTGGACTGATGAACTTATGCGCGAAAAGAAGCGTACGCAGGCCTTCAGTAGCAAAGTCGTCGACATGCTCCAGGCAGCGGCTGAGTGAGGCAGAGTGGTCTTCAACAGGGAGGTCATCGAGAAAAATGGACAAGGGTTGCTTCGCGGTTTCGAACGAATTCATGCAGTCAGTTCTGTTTCTTCGTTTTTGCTGCAGTTCAGGCTCAATTTCATCATTTAGTCTATCGGTCTTCTGACTCAAGGAAGATGCATCTCGGAGACGGGGTTCAATCATGTTGTCTGCGCCTTTGCAAATAACCCATATCCGCCGATTCGGACATCTTACGATAATGGACATCCGTTTCCTTTTACTGCTAAATTCGATGATATCAAGAATCTCATACACTTGTTGACTTTCATGGTTGTTCGCGTCATTCAGGAGCAGAGTAATAGACTGCGATGACCGATGAATGAGAACATAGCCGAGATCGCAGGCCGCTCGAACGAGGGCAAGTTCATCAGGCGAGGACGCTTGGAAGTCTACAACGTCATTGCGGACCTCAGGGAGGCAAGTATGACACAGGGCCATGGCTAGAATAAATTCACGCACCTTCTGAGAGAATGGAGATGCAGGGTTGCTATGAATATATTCGAGGAGCTGAGTAGTTGTCCGTTCTGGTGGAGCATGATCCTGCCGGCCAGTGGATCTCCACGTTGAGAAAGATGGTCTCGGTTTATTCTCGATTAGAGGAGAGACGGATGTCTTGCTGTCTTTGTGCGTCACTGTATTCGTCATCTGAAAAGATCCAACTTTTCCGAGGCTGACATGGTCCTCCTCAATGCGCCTCGGCTCCTGCTCAGGTTTCAAAGCCTGCTCACGCTCGCCTTTAACGTGCATGTCATGCAACCAGGCGGTGCCAGCAATACTCATCTTGCGGAATCTCATAATATTCTGGGTCAAAGTTCCCGTCTTGTCGCACAAGACATAGCTGACCTGCCCCAGATTCTCGAGAATTGTGTTTGTGTTGCATCTCATTGGCGTATCGGAGACGTTGTCGTACATCTCGACGTCACTCTCCAATAGGAGCGCTTGTCCTACCTTCACAATCTCGAGACTCACGTATAAAGCTAACGGAATAACATTATTGAATGCTATGGCAAAGCCAATGATAATGGCCTCAAACCCCACCGATGCGTTATTCAAATACCACGAATATTGTTCGGTCGATCTCTGCCACATCAGATAGCCCACTGAACAACCGACGGACAGGAGTATCACGTAAGCAATGAGCGTAAGGACAATTCGGTTGGCGGACTTTTCGATTCGGGGCTTCTTTGCTTTGGGGTGGTGATTTGCGTTCATTCGGATCTTGCATTCTTCTCCCGTATTAATCACCATACCAATGACAAGACCCGTGTTTCTCAGGACGCTGCCTCGATAGATCACCTCATTCAAAGTCAGCGGCAGAGCCTCTCCATCAACAGTAACGCTGCCGTTGAAGTCATGTAGGTTTAGATTTGGATGCTCGACCACGAACGTCGCTTCCAAGGATCTGATCCCGTGGATTGTGCTGCACGAGCTTAGAGAGGGTAGCGCTTGTCGGCTCTTCAAGTTCGTTTCTCCATCCAGGGCCATTGTTTCGATATACGCGAGCCCATTCTCTCCATCGGCATGTAGCAGAACGATGTCAGCAGGTACCGCCTCGTCCCTTTTGATTCTGATAATGTCGCCGACTTTGATGTCACGCCATTGGACCTTGGTCCAGCGCAGGTGGTCTTCAGTCATTTCATACTCATTGATAACTTCAGTCTTTGCGTTGGACGCCGAGGGAAACGATTGGAATCCAGTTATTCTGTGGGCTAATCGTCCATGTCCAACATGATGACGGTAATCTCTTAGTACGACGGCGCTGCTCGTATTTTCCACCTTGTCCAGCCGGTGTCTTCTATAGTCGTCATAGCCTTCCTTTGCAACCTGCAAAAGGATGAAGAAGAGAAGAGGGAGGATGGTCGTATAGTTTCCAGTCGTACTCAAGCCCGGGATGGCTTGAGGGATCCCGATACAGAGGAAGTAGAAGTTGCCCAACCGCGTGAATTGGAAAACCAACTGTTTCGGGAGAAAATCGTACATTGTATATCTCGAGGACCGGATGACATTGGAGATGTACGCACGGCCGCTCCGCTCATCAATATACGGCCTGTCTGGGACCGCCTTGAGGGGAATCCAGCGACCATCTTGGGCAGGAGATAACGGCCTGTGTCGTAATGTCCACTGAAGAATGTATACTCGGCACCACGCTAGCGCGCGTTCGAACCAGTCTTTCTGCTCATCGTCGCTGGATGGCTGTGTTCGGATAGATTTCCCTGTGATGATGCGGGGTTTCCTAAGAGCTGCCTCGTTCACAGGTTCTCCTAGGGTTTTCGTTGTGTTCATCGTGTCGTGGAGAGGCAGGACTTGACCGCTCCAGGTGTCCAGGTCCACAGGACTGGAGGCTGATGAATGAAGCTCCTCGTTCTAGAGGGACTATGGGATCACATCGACAGAATGTATGCAGGGCAACATAGTCTTATGGTCTCGCGCTCGTCCGATCGAGCAGAGCGACTGCTGTTTGAACGGTCGAGCTGTTTTGTGCAGCTCCTTGTTGTCCGTCGTCCACAACTGACAGGTTCCATTCAGTATGCCCCTCTCATAAATTGAAGCCAGTACATACACTTGATTCATGTTGGTAGGCCACATACAGCACGTGGTTGGTTGGTTCGTCCCTGTATGCCCAGCAGCCCGGCTTGATGTTCTGCTAGGGGCAGTCTCCACCAATTATTATCCAACATCAGATCAGGCGCACGGATTCCACACTAAAGTTAAATTCTGGGCACTAGTGTAAGGGATAAGTTCAGTGAGGGTTAGATTTAATTTTAGTGGTGGTTTGGTTATGCAACTCTAGTTAATGCGCATAAAACCAGTCATCGAAAAATAAATAGTCAGCGAGAGGTGACAACATAATAATGCAAACAGATCTAGAACCAATCCATTATATATAGGTAGCTATAGTCTACTACAGTTTTTACTATAGGTGTACAGATGAAAGCAGGGGATGGGGCCCATTCTGGCGCAACCTTAGACAATAGGTTGTGATTTAGGTCTTGCTTTTCCTTCCCAAAAATCAGTTCCTGTCCTTCAACCTACATATCACGTACATAAGGTCAGTTCTGTATCTGAAAAATGACATCAGTATCCTGAATAGCTTTTCGGCCTCAACCCGAAAGCAAACCACCATCCAGCCACAATCACCACGACGTAGGCAAGACAGAGTAGAAAGTTTTGTTTGGCTTTTCGGAACCGTCCTTCGTCCACAATCATCAATTTGGGGCCAAATTCTGACGCAATGTTGCTCTTTGGAAATTCCGTATTTGGTGCCGGTAGGTCAAGGAAGCTGCATAGAGGTGCCCTTTTCCCTGTAAGCTATATACCACGCGAGCAATTGAAGGACAGGGATCTAACCAGCCATCGTCCACCGACCAATCGAGATAATCCCGGTCGTTGGCTTTTAGTATCTGTTCTAAATCTTCATAATGATCCTGATACGCTTTCTCGGCATGTTTCTCGAAGTCGCCTTTGAAAAGATATGTTTGATGTCCGAGTCGAGTCAGCCACACGCCCCAAAATAATTCTGCATTGAACCAACTGGCAATCCAATATTGCCAACTTTGCATCATCGGTAATACCGATGCGCGAAAGCTCTTTTTCCAAGCCTGTATATCACGGCGCCGGTTCAAAATGACTTTGGCTTCGGGGTATGCTTGCAGAAGTTCGGTTGCAAACCAAACCGTAGGAACATCAGTGGAAGCATCCATGCCACCGAGAACGCGGTCAAAATAACGTTCGCGAACAACTTCTGGACTTGGCATACGGTTTTGCAGCTTCAGAAGCAAGAGTTCGCAATAGAGAATGCTATGGTTCGGGTGATGCAGCCACCACTCGAAGCCATGTGCCACTCCGCCAAATCCAAGAGTTTCAAGTGCGCTTTTGAGCGACTCCGTTCCACTTCGAGGAAGGCCGAGACAAATAACTCGTAACTGCCTCGACCGCTTCGGTTGTGGTCCAGGTAACTGATATACGCGCTTAAGGATTGGTAGCATTCTGGAGAAGTCAATCATTTTTACTGCAGTGCACTGTGTTGTTGTGGGTATAAAGCAGAGGAGCGAAGCTTACAGCGGTTTTGAAGTCGCTTCTAGATGAAAAACTTAAATAAGTCATTAGACATGTTATTTGAGCTTTGGGCGCGATCAGGCGTCCAATGCTTATTTGTGCTGTGAAAGTGATATATGTCATCCCAGGAATCATTAATAAGTGGCAATTTCCGCGAATCATAAGAATGGTGACCACGCTGCAAATTAAGCACTACATGACAGAGGGTCAAGCCCACTGGGAAGGGATCCATGCGTAGGATTAGGCTGAGGTTAACCTTATTAGATATAAGAATGCCATGGATATATTAAGATATATTAGAAGTTGTAAGAAAATCTACTAATTGATCTAGTCTCTATAATAGGTATAGTTAGATGCCATGTAACAAGATGGACTAGATAATACCTAGATTATCCCTCCTATACAAGGGGTGAATCCTCACTAGATGTAGTCGCCAGAATGGGGGTCGCGGCACCCATAAAGGGAGTCCTATCAATGACCGCGGAAGCTTGCTTGTAGTGATTAAGCGCCAGCACATCTTTGTTAATAAGATCTTAGGATAACTTTGGATCTGCAGCCCTGGTATCTATTGGACACTGTCACACTATCTAAAGTAATCACCTGCTATAAGCACTTCCTTGATCTATTCAAACTCCGCCCAGGAATAACTTTAGTCCTAATGATGGACATTAACCTTGTGTGGCATACACATTAATGCTCAGCGAGCATATATATAGCCAGTATGGAGAGATGGGTAGAGGGGTTCATTAACCACGACAATATAGTTCCGTTAGGAGTGCTGTAGATGTAGTCAGACTGTCAGATAAGACTTTAGTGCTATTCAGAGACTACTTTAGCATAGAGTATTATATTTACCTATGCCAGGAGTGTGAGTCTAATTAGTCAGCTGTTAATGAGTAACTATGATGATGGAGAGGTGGATTTTAAGACCCGGGCGGATAGGGTCGTCGAGGATTTGGCGGCTCATCGGGTGCTGGAGTTGAAGGGGCGAAATCAGGTATGAAGCGACCCAGAGTAGCCTTGGGTACACTAATTGTGAGAACCTTGCGCTGGGCTGCAAAAGGTTAACCACTGAGGCAAAAGACCTACTATGATTGACCCCTATAGTCAATCATGCCCAGCTTCCATATATATATATATATCTTTAAGGCTTACTGGATGCCTCTTAACACTATCCTAGAATCTACCTACCCCTGCCCTGGTAGGTTAGTGCCTAATAGTAGTTTATAAATAGCTACTACTACTACTACTACTACTACTACTAGATTATAGGGGTCTCTAGTACATAGCTATAGGACCTACTATCTATATAGCCTACCTCTACTATCACCATCCCATCTCTTCCCTAGATAATGTAGCCTATGCTAGCTATAACTAAGCTATCTATCCTATAACCTGCTAATATAGTACTAGAGAGTAATAAAAGTTAATCTAGAGAGTAAGCCTCTAGTAGCCTACCCTATCTATATAAGATCTAGTCCGTCTCCGCCACCGAGCCCAGAACACCATCACAAGTCTCCAAACTCTACCTCGAGAACACCCCGTTAAATTTCTGAAAAGAGGAAGGCAAAAAGAAAAGAAGTAAAAAGGAAAGAATGAAAGAAAAGGAACCTCGAAAAAAATTTACTGATGAGCCTCTGAATGGGCGGGAACGGACTCATTATCTGTCCACCATCCCTCGAAGGCAGATCATCCATTCTATATAGCGTTCTTATAGAGTAATGGAAGAGAACAATGTGAAACATTCCTTAATTCACCCGAGGACATAACATCAATAACACTCATCTGGAATGTTGCCCGTCCAGCTCAAATAATTCTATCTGATTTTGTGCAGGGTCGGCTGGTAACTCTGCCTTTTCATAAGTGAGTGGTTCATGCCTTGTGCCATCCAATTCAGGCAGTCCATTGTAATCGGGATTCCCAGGTTGACCTTGCGTCGCATTGGGCTGTTTGTGTCTTCGGCGCCGGGACCATAGTAGGCCCAGCGCAAGGGCCGCTGCTAAAACCACCCCGGCAGTGACCCCCACGCCGATGCCCACTTTCGCGCCCGTGCTGAGGCTGGACGAGCTTCCTCTGGAGCTTTGTGTCTCGGCTGGGGCAGTTTGTGAGGTTGTACCGGCTGGCGCATGTGTGGTGGTCACGGCCACAGTGGCCGGTGGGGTGGTGAAATCAGTTGACTGCCATCGGACCTCCACACCATAAGCATTGAACGAGCCTGGGCTGACCATAGTACCAGGCATACTCGTCTCCTGCCCGTCCGTGTTGAACGACGTATAGGTATATTGTGTCACAGTATCCGCCGCAGGTCCCCAGGCACACACCTCAGTCGCCCACCAGAACGCTGAATCCGTTGCGCTGCTCGGTCGAATGGAGTAGGTGTTTGAATCGACGTCCCTAGAATACCAAGTTGAAAGTTTACTGTGAGCCTGGATCGACTTCTGAACAGGGGTAACTAGGTTAACTTACACTGGACAGCATGTTGCGACAGTCTCTGTCTTAGTCCCTGCCACGATTTTTGAGGTTGTCGCGATGACATAGCCACTGGGGCATATTCCAGGGGAAAAATAGGTAGTCGGTGCCCAGCCAGACGGGAGACATTTTGGGATGTTGAGGGGGCCCAACTGCATCCACCAGCTGTGACTAGGAGGACTGCTGGCGGCCCATAGATCTTTAAGGCACGCAATGGGTGGTGTAAATGTGGTCGTTAGGGGAAGGGGGGCGCTTGGAGCCGCCGACATGATAGGCTAGATGTTCGCAACATAAAGATGTAAAACACTACAGCAGCGGCGACGATGTGGAGGATGATGTAACATCCAGCCTACTGTGTGAGCTGGAAATAAAGGACAACACCAATGCAGGCATTGTGAGTAGGAAAAGGGATTGGGTTCAGACTCAGGACTCAGGAAGTGCGGAGATGGAAAAAGCACTAACTACAGAGTAATCAGGCCACCCATAGCCCTAAAATCAAACTGAACTAACCAATCTAAGGCAATGGCTGGTAGATCTAACAAGGGTCCGAGGAAGCACTAATACAGTATCAGAGCATCGGGGGATATAGAAGCATACTAAGCAAATCATTCTGTATTCTGGGGCGAACAAAGCAGTTTGGGTTTGGCAGAAGGGGACTATGTTTGAGCAAAAAACAATGTCCTGATGGGCTTGCCAAGCACGTTTACAGCGCAGCCACAGAGACAGGAGTGGAGTCTGTGGACTTGAGTCGGGCACTGTATTCACGTGAGCATAATGATAATACTGCCAAAGTTCCAAAAAAAAAAAAAACATCTAGCCATGTTAGAAAACGGCTCTCTGCATTTTTGACTGCTAGGGTTCAGGATTAAGGTTCAAGAGCGTATCTCGGATATTGATTTTGAAACGTCAGTTGAGAGAGTACACAGTCTTTTTCTTTTGTCATGTTGACCTCATGTGACCACCCCTGAAGCGCAACCTTCAGATATATATTCCTTACTGTCCATTCTCTTACATCATTGTGGTGGGATCCTACCCGTAGTGAGAAAGGCGAAGGGAAGCATATGCAGCGCTGATGAGTGTGCTTTTGAAATATCTGTTTCTGATAAAGGTATCGGGATCGCCGCAGATAAGTTGGATCTTCTTTTTGAGAAGTTCCAACAGGCCGACGGCTCGATGACTAGGAAATTCGACGGCATTAGACTAGGTCTTACCATCTCAAAACGAATCATCAATTTGATGGACGGGGATGTAGCCGTCACATCGGAGTTGGGTATTGGAAGTACTTTCTACTTCAACTTCGTGGCGAAATTGGCAGATCCTTCGCTTCTTGTGTTCGAACAGAACACTCCCCATCGGGGCCGCCGCATTCTTTATATCGACAGAGAACACGATAAAGAGCAGCCTATTCCAGAGATGCTAACAAACCTCGGCTTTATGTTGAACGTAGTAACAAACGAGACTGAGTCCGCTAAGGCTTCGTCAAGACTCTGTAGTTCTGGGGCTTTCGATGTTATCCTGAATGATACGTTAGGACCGGCATTTATTCTAAACGCTCTTGATGCTGTCCTATTTGTTCTGCTTGTCCTGGTCTGCGTAGGCGTATTAGTGAATCTTCAAGCTGCAATGGATTTAGATGTAGTATCCTGTGTCACTACTCCTTGTCGTCCAATATATATCTGGAATGGAGTCCTCTCTGCTCTTGGCAATTGTCTAATTCGCATATTGGCTGGACCTACGCGTTCATTGGCTGTCCTGCTGGCCGAAGACGAAGTTAATTGGAAAGTTGCCCTTAGTAATCTGTCTCGGGGGGTGCCGTTTGTATCGAAGACGACGGTCCCTGATTCTGCGGGCCAGGCGTCGGAGCGATAGGTGTGGAGTCTGCTATATGCCATTTTAGCGCATGTGATCTATGGATTGACGTTAGCATGAAGCGTTGGGGAGTAAGGATACAATGAAGTAGTATCGTAGCCGGGAGAAGGGAAGGTCAACACTATTTAAAGGACCAACCCCCACTACCTTTCCCTCTAGCGAAGTATACTAATATTTAGGTGATACTTACTTGATTTAGGCTTCCTTCTTAAATGCTGCCTATCTACCTCGTACATATTTGGAGATCCGGTTAGGGCTTCCCCGCCCATATGACCTGGGGTACAGCTGCCTACTTGAGAACGCATCTGCCTGCGCTTTGCCACCAGGATCAGATCACAGGCATAAATATAAGGCCATAAACGTATATTGCCTGTAAGTAATATAAATCTAGTCAACTCATCAGACTCCATTCTGTCCAGATATCCTCATGGCGAACCTTTTTCCCAGCCTTTTCCAAAAGCTATTTGGCAACTCTTCAATCCCACCCCCAACCCACATCAATCTCGCCGTAACAGTCTCATCAACAACGCTCCACAAACACGGTTCTGGCAGCGAATCCCACCTCATCCTTGAGGCGACTCTTCCCCAGAGCCCAAACACACCCGACAAGCCCCTTACCATCCTTATATTCGACACCCTCCTGGACCCTAGCGGCATCGCCCTCTACAAGGACGGCCTCGACTTTATCGACGTCGGCACAGGCGCTCCCGCAAACAGGACAAGCCTGATTTTTCATTATGAATTTGGCGGGAGGTCTAATATCCCAGTTGAGCCCCAGTCTGAGCGTTACTTCGCCACTCTTTACCCAGGTGTGCCGTACCGTGTGACGTTTACCTTAAAGCCATGTCCCAGGATCCAGCCACACGCTGAAGGCACTCCTGAGCGGCTTGAAAATTCATGCGGGGAGAGAGTTCCAACTGCGAGGGACGAGGACATAGTTGCTTCGGTTTTTTCTCACGTCACATATCTGGACGTGGGATCGATGTACCGTGTTGAGCTTGGGAATAAGTTGAACAAGATATGGTGGTATCGATATGGATCAAAGGAGGAGATTCTGGGGGGACAAGGTACTGAAGGTGGTCTTGTGGGAAAGCTGATGGGAACGAAACGACGGCGCGAGCTAGTGGAGGACAGTCTGATGCAGCCAATCCCCCTTGTGATGCAGGGTTCTGCTAGATTCACTGTCGTAGAGTAAGGACTTATAGGATTTAAGCCAAGGGCTTCTGTTGGTCATATTTTATCTTTAGTCAAACTTGTTTTCGGATCTCTAGCTTAGACTGTTGTCTAACAATGATCACACCAATGTGCATATTACACCGGGAGAACAGAAGAGGACACCTGAAACGATCTCAGTACATCGAACGTAGAGCTTCAATTGAGCCTTGCCAATGTGCTGATCACGGAGACTTCTCCTCGACGGGTGGCCAGTGTGATAAGATTGTGTGATACTCCCAATCTGAGAGCTGCTGCTGACTATCGAGGCGAAAGCCCCATGCAGCAGCAACCCGATTATCAGGCTTGTATGAGCCACAACGTTCTACCTCCCACTCAAGCCTGATCGAGCCCTTTCTGTTTAAGAACTTGAAATTGAAAAAGGAATAGTGGTTGAGATCAAAGTTAATAGTCCTCAGGCAAGGCATACGCCTTGCAGCATAGCCCAAAGAGATAAATAGCCGATGAAACTGCTCTTGCTCAAAAATGGGTCGCTCCACAATTCTTCTTTCATAGCTGCAGATTTCTGCCTCCCAATCCGCAATCTCAGCAATCATGGCTTCCTCGTCTGGATCAGGGCGGACGATCCATTCCCCTGTGTACATTGAGAAAGTTAGTAATTTTTCGGTTCATTTGGCATATTGCATCTACAATATCCCATGCAACTCATGAATACTTGAGGAAAGTTTCTTACTTGAGGGAAGCCATGGCTGGAATTGTTTTAAAGTCAAAATTTCCAAGTTAGGCCAGTGTAAAGATGCATTACCAAGTAGAGAATGATCTTTCTCATCCAGAGGCCATAGAAAATCCAGAGAGATAGGAACTTGGACCAGTTTTAGCTCACGAAGGGAAAGACTCAGATCTCGGATTCTAATGGATAGAATATCAATGCTTGAGGATAGAACATTCAAGGCAGGCATGGTATCCTTCCAATTCCTCTCATCTTGATTCTCAAAGCAAAAAACCCTCAATGAGGGGGGAATATCTTTCAGACCTTCAGACACAGCTGGCATAAAAGTTAGTGAGGCTAAAAAGCATGCTGTAGTGGTTCTGATAAACAGGAAAGTCTCATACCTTGACGGCGTTCCTTCAGGTAATCTAGATGATCTGGTCTGATATACTCATCCAAGTTCAACCATAGTTCTGTGAGTGTCGGACAGTGCTGAACAATCTGCATGGCTGCTCCAGCCCATATCTGGTGATACCGTGGTGAGTCTGTACCGTCGAGAAATGATAGTCTGTCAATACATGAAACATTGGGTAGCATCACTGCACCATCCTGATGGAAGCGCGCGCGATAGACAGGAACAGCTTGTGTGCGCCCATCCGTGAAGTCCCAAGTATACAATCCAGCTTCATCATCCTCTTTTGTATGCGGCTCCTGGCCTAGTTCACGCCCTAGGAGTACCAGAGAGACAGAGAGGCGATGACTCTTCTCCCATACTTCTAGCGTTTTGAATAGATCGATTACTGCTGATTGAAACGCAGTGTCATTCGCCTGTCGAACAGCATTATTGGAGCTATAACCTTCCCTTTTACGCATCATCCAGTCTGGGAGGTCAAAAGGGATAACAATATGGTACCACAGCTGACGAATACATGCTCGTCGCGCGATTCCAGGCCCAGAAGTGAGTGCGTGGACCTGTTTGAGGCAAATCCCGCGGTGCTCCCTTCCCTTGTTGATGCCATCCTCGCTGTAAACATGCAATTCGGAGTAGATGATTGGCTCAAACACTGCCTGCCAACGACGACAGACAGCTGTACATGCAACTAGAGAAGCGCCTGCCTGTTTAAGATAGCCTGCGATCTCACCTAGAAGTTCAAGTGGGAGTGAGGCTGCCATATCTATTAGGAGGGGAGCGGTTCATAGCAAGCTCGTTAGCACTTAACGCCCTTGAGTTTGGAGCCTTGGAGCTGGTGTACTTACTTCCCAGGGCGAGTGGAGACTGCGGACAACAGAACTAGCGCACAGGGGGGCAACTATTCAGGCTTAGCGCGTAAAAACCTGAGGATAAACTGATTAGAGGCAATGCACCGGAAGAGACGGATATTCCCTTCGCCTAGCGCCAAGTATGTATTTCTTAGCGTGGTTCCTGTGCACCTAAGCCGATCGGCCATCCTGATGATGCTTCCCTACGTAGGTATTTAAGGCAGGAATCTCCGGATTCGGTTTACCTGAGCAACAGAGCTTAACCGATCCGGCGCCCAGGTGGCTTACCTCAGTGGAGCTGGCGATAGAACTCCGGTAGCCAGCAATTACCCTCCAGATAGTTGCTGCATGACTTCAAGGATGATCTACCAGTTATATATGATCAACCCTCTTCACCGAAGCTTGAAATGCACGCCTGACGTCCGTCTTCCTAAACCCAGGTGCGCGGCCGAGGATGACAAGCCCAGAGAGGAGTCCTGGAGCGATGAGCATAGGAATAATCGCGCAGTATGGAGAACTCACGTGAAAAGAAACCCTCGACATCCAAGACAAAGGACCGAGTGCGATCCCTCTCAGCTGCTCCACTGGATATGCGCAGCGTAGGAAACAAACCCCCGTTTACGTCCACCCCGTGCAGCCTGAGATAGCCCTCCACATCACGACTATCAAACCACTCCCCTCCAAGCCCATAGACCTCCAGTGCCTCTTCACCTCCCTTGGTTCCCAGCTCCGCCCACGGCAATATCCCCAAAACCCGCCGTGGCATCCGACTATTCACTGGGTATATCGCATTCCCCTCCTCATCAACATCCGGGAAATGCGTACCCGCGCCGCCAACGCTGTAAAACGGTAGACCCGACACCTCCAGAGGGTCCGTACGTCCACCCATCAAGAGCTGCTGGAAGCGCGGTTGGGTCTTTCCCCGATCCCTCACACAGGGAACGAGCCGGAACACGCGATGAAACTCACGCGGATCCGACCGGAACTCAGTGAAGAGACGAAACGCGTGCTCGAGGCAGTATCGCTGTAATCGACGAGCGAGGCGCACTTCTTGGAATGCGTAGGTGCACTGCCTGGTTGGTAGAGGAGGGGCAGGTGGGTATTGTCTGGGGGATTCGGCATGCGCGCTGAACACTGGCGCTTGACCGGATGAATCTGGAGATGGCTCGGCAGGGGCATCGGTCTCGATGGGATTATAACCATCGGCTACAATTCCATAAAGCCGGTTCAGACGCGCATAGATATCCGGATGAGAGAGATGCAGTTGCGCCTCTGTGGCGGCCTCGGACAGGCCGGTTACCTCTTCAATGGCAGTGCGCATTCTTGCTTCAAGCTGCTCGGCTCTGGCAGTTGCATTTCGGAAAAAAGCCTCCTTCTTCAGTCGGTATGTGCGCTGGGCGCGACGGACCTGGGCGCGACGATCGTCGGAGAGAATAGCGTCCCTGCTGGCGTCCAGACGAGGGCGTCCTGCTCGTTTTGATCGGCGGGGCTCCATCTCTGGATTGACTCGGAATTTGGGAAGAGACCAGTTTCGCCTGAGGACCGCGTAAATTTTTGCAGATTAGATTGCCATTGTAACGCTATATCTACTTTGGTGGATGGACCGTATCAATTGTGGAATTAAGTGCACATCGTGATCTGATATTGTAATCATTTAAACCTCGGCAATTTCAACGCTCAACGTTTACTCAACGTTCATTGGTTGACTGCAATGCATTCAACAAACAGTCCCAACACGTCGCCCCACCTTACATCTGCGACTACGAATCAACCGCTAGCCCCTTTGCTTTATTCCGCCGTCAGGCACGACCCCATCCCCAAACAGTTGCGCAAGGATGGCCTTGAGACTCCACCGGTTCCTGCACAACGGACTTGATATACCACTGACGGATGCGCAATGCACAGATCCACAGATCACCCGTATACAGCCCTGTTGCCGGATCCGGCTGGTCCTCCAGCACCCCTACACCTCCACTCACTCATTAGAGGCGCGAGATACCGCAGCACACACCGCGCACAGCCACGATGCCACTTACCAACCCCGTAACAACAACGCCAGGCTCAATGAAACCCATACTGACACGCATCTGCCTCTCCAACTTCGCCGCGATCACCCTGCGCACGAAGGGCCTCAGAAAGCGCGGCAAAGTCCACATCCCTAAATTCATCAACTGCCCGCCATCACCCGATTCGACTCTGGGGCTTCACAGCAACACACTCATACCATTTTACCCAGTAGCACAATTCTCTCCGCAAAATGTGCCCCATGCCCACCCACACTTATAACTAGACAGGTCCGTAGATGGGATCTCCGTCGCATCACCAAGCGCTTTATGAAAAACACCCAGTGCGCAGCAGCTCTACATCCGTCAAAGCCCGCCACTCATCGTCGTCCAAGAGTGAAACTATCCACAACTGATGACCTAGGCGTATGCAGCATGTTCTCGTCCAGGATCTTACCGGCGCGTCTGTGCCGCGCATGCAGGTAATTCATCCGCGCGAGCCCGCGAACGTGCATCTCCGAGCGGGGAGGCGGTCATAGACTTCGATGAGGATGACCTCTGTATCTGCTGCACGCTTGCCGGGGGCGTTCGTTATGTTGAGTTGGAGGGCTCGCTGCAAGGAGTTCTGTCATTGTGGGGATTGAGCCAGTCTATACCATTATGTTAATCTCCCCTTGCAAATATCTGGGTAGAAGTGTATTGCCCGGGTGCCTTCCCTTTGAAGGGAGAATTTCATTGCGCTGTGCATGAAATAGGGAAATTCCAGCTCGCTGATTATCTGGTGCCCTTCCTGCACGGGCACGATGGCTAGCGGGGCGATTGTCAAATCGGCTTTCGATAGTCTTGGAGCGCTGATAGCGATATTTCATGATGGAGAGGATGTAGAAGGCCATGCAGGCAGCGATGCTAAGGGGCGAGCATCGGGTGGGGTAAGTCATCCAACATGGAATATGAGTTGTATTGAGTTCTAACAACGCTGCGCGAGATAAAAAGCAGGATCCAATGAGTTCAATATACAGGAGAGACTCTGGGACCGAGATATTGTAATCGGAGACATATGATCAGAGGGATAAGCAATCAGAGAACCAGAGGTATGGTGCCTTCTTGTGATATACTACCTCCTTATCTATACAGTTTACGTAGATACTTGAGTACTGGGTAGGCTTTGCATTGTAACATGGAAAAACTCAAAGAGATCCATCCATGGCAGCCACCCCGAGATGGAAGGGGGCCCGTTTATTCTAGGGTTGAGAAGGCAGTTTCCCATCCCTTTTGCCCGTTTACATATACTCCTACTTTCAGTCGTCAGCACTATCTTCCCCAGAGCATGCAGGACTTACTACGCCATACATGCGTTTCTGGCTGCACCTTTAACGAGACTACTGGCCAAGGTCGAGAAATAAAACAAAGATTATCAGCAGTGTATGATCATTAGATCCATAAATGGTACTCCGCCGCAGGATGATTCGATCCTTGGTGAACGGGAATTTCGGTGAGCAGCCTCGGTGCCCGGGTTCGATTACAATATCTCGTTTATAACCAGCATTGGGACTTTGAGCCCAACCATTCCGGAACCAATGTTTGTTTCTCCATATCCGAGGTCATGTTGGGATAGTGATTCACAGTCCTCTCTTGCCAATTCGAAGCCATTTTAAATATCCTCGATCACCCTTGGATACTTGTTTGTCGAATCATTCTGAAAGCAACCCGGAGCGAAATACGTTTTGGTTAGCGGCTACCTTAGCTATTTTGCACTCGAGTATCAAGATTTCGGCGGTGAAACGACGATTCGATAACCCGACCTCTCCTGATTCAGAGCGAGAATTTCTAGGGACTACCGACAGGATGCCTGGCGCAACTGAAGCTTTCCATGCACTATGGAACAATTGTTCCTTGGCGATTGCCATAGCTCTCACCAGCTATATGGCACTAGTTAAGCTTCTTCGGTACCGCCGCATGGCAAAGATAGAGGCCCCATTCGTCAATCGCGGCAGGCCATTATCAAGCATGACAGTCGAAGAAGCTCATGCGATTATAGCCCAATTGCAAGAAATGGAATTTCCATATGCATTTGCTAAGGCTCGTCGAATGGCCCTACTAAAGGTACGATAAAGCATCTTCTAGCTGGCTTAAGCGTATCGATGCTGGATTTACCCTAACTAAGTTCATGTCGTACTACCAAAACAGGCCGGAGGTATTCCGACGATGTCGAAGCTTTTCGCCGTTACCGGCCAGAACAACAGGCGTAACGCGGGTAAGCGCGCCGTTGACACGGAAATCCTCTTACGGGAGTCGCAGTCCCAGCCTCGAGACTCGGACCGTTATGCATCAGCCGTGGCGAGAATGAATTATCTGTATGTAGGACACACCCTTCAAATTCACTCGGGAAGCGAATAGGAGCCTTTCGTCCAGTTTACTAAACTTGTCGTCGTTCAGCCATGCCCGCTACCGCCGTGCTAACAAAATTACCGATGATGACCTTCTCCACACCTTAGGTGATGGTCTTGCCGAGATCCTGAACGTGATTGAGAGAGAAGAGTGGCGAAAGCTTACGGATGTTGAGAAATGTGCCCTTGGTATCTTTCATAAGAACCTGGGCGAAGATATGGGCATCCCATTTGATGCGCTTCCCTCAAAGGCAGAAGGGTGGAAAGATGGCCTGCACTTCGCGTTAGAACTGAGCAAGTGGACAATCCACTATGAGGACGAAGTCGCGAGGCCCACCGCAACAAACGATCAATACGTCCGAGTTTACGTGGATTCTGCGCTTCCCAGCTTCATAAAACCAGTGGTGCGACAGATGTTGGGTGCTGACTTGAATGATACCATGAGGACGAGCCTTGGGTAAGTTCTGTGCCCGTTCCCGTGCAAAAGCCGTACGTTGCTCACGGCCGCAGTCTCGAATCTCCCGGCATTTTCCTCTCTATTGTGCTGGGCCTCGTCCGAAATCTACGAAAGTTAGTCCTTCGATATCTTGCGCTTCCACGACCCTCTTTCCTTGCCGTCAGACTCGTGCACGACAAGCCGAACCCGCAAACGAATCTGTACAACTTCGAAAGAAAGGGCCTGCAACCATGGTACGTCCGACCGACTCTCTGGTCCAAATGGGGACCAGGGGCGTTCTTGGTTAGAGTATTCGGAGGCAAGATGCCTGGTTCGGGCGGGGACCGGTATCTGCCGCAAGGATACAACTTAATGACAATAGGGCCGGAGCCACAGAAAGGAAAAGGATTGGAAGAGATGAGCCTCGACATGGAGGTAATCAAGGCGAGAGGTGTAGCCACATGCCCATTCTCTCAGGCAAAATCGGGTAGCTTCAGATGATGCTGGCTACAATATATATAGATAAGAAGGCAGGCAAGGACGAGGAAAGGCTCCAAAACGATTGTAGATATATTTTCACAACTTCGCTAGCGCTTTTGTGAGGGCTGATCTTCCATATTAGGATGTTAACTAAAGAGCTAGAGTGCTAAAATCAAGGGATGGAGTTATCCGAAGCTGGTCTACCCCTTGTCCAAGGTTGCGCCGGACTGGGCCCCATTTGACGCTTTTCGTCCTTGCGCCCATAGGAAAAGTCCACTAGACAACAGCCACCTGTCCTGCCATTTCACCGACACTTTCCACGTTGTGTTACCCTCCTCGATCAGCGACTTGGCAAAGGAAATCCTAGAGCTAGTCCAAGGGCTTCAACGGGCGCATGCATACCAAGACGCAGGCGAAAGTAGTGCTCTGGTTTGGCTTGGGTATTCAACGACGATCGACTGCTTTCGTCTGAAATTATTACCACAAGGATACGTGAGACGACGATTGTCTGCCGCCTTCGAAAAACATCTCCCTTGGGAGTGCAGCAACCTTGGTATTCTTTACAAGCAGCTCTTCGTCTATCCAAAACCTCTCCCTACCAAAGTATCGCTCAGCGGACTGACGGCTGTCATTACCGGCTCCAATAGCGGGATCGGCTTCGAAGCATCTGACAACTTTTGCAGCTCGGCTTATCGCGTCTGATTATGGCCGTGCGTTCACAGTCATCTGGAGATACCGCCGCTGCAAAGCTGCGCACGACATTTCCGAATGCTGATTTACAGGTTTGGATGCTGGACATGTCAGGTGTGAATCCATTGAGGCTTTCGTTGAACAATGCCGGCGCCTAGACCGCATCGACTATGTTATCTTAATACGGCCATGCAGAGCAGCACTTTTAATCGGCATAACAAGGGTCACGAATTGGTGTTCCAGGCCGATTCCATCTCTACTGTCCTTCTATGTATGCTGCTTGCATCCGTATTGAAGGACATGAATCATGCCGGAATAGCCATTAAACCGCCAGTTCTTACCATCATCGGGTCCGACACTATGTACCTCAGCAAGTTTCAATCCGCAGGGCCTGTCTTTCCCCGTATGGACGACTCGACGGTATACGAGAGAATGAAGCAGTACATGGTTTCAAAACTGCTGCTGATACTATTCGTTCGCCAACTGGCTCAGCAGATCAGCCCCGGCGATGTTGCTATAAACGTCTGTAACCCAGGTATGGTCGCTGGAACGGGTCTAGGAAGAAATGGGAAGCCCAACCCCGGTCTTGTGGAGAAATACGCGGCTGACTCTCTTTGTCAAGGCGCTCGGACGTAAGGTGCGGTCTGGCGCAAGCGTCTATATCCATACACTTTTGGGTGAGGGCAAGAGAGGTCATGGTAGCTTCATCAGTGACTGGACTATCAAGCCGTACGGGCGGTTGCTGTATACCAAGGAGGGTCAGGACCTGAGCGAGCGTCTGTGGCAGGAGACAATGGAGGAGCTTAGATTTACGTCGGAGAAGGGTATCAAGCGGCTGTTTGCCTAGCAAATACAATGATGGGGAGGTTCCAAGAATTTACTGATTTATTCATTCAATATATTAATACACTAGAAAATCAAGTAATTAGTGGGCCCCGGACCGAAAAGTCAGCTGAGGTACTTTCTCGCTTGCAAAGAGTCATTGATAGCAGACAACTTGTTGGTATACAATACTTCCCACTGGCKGAATTGGTCTTTGGTTATTGAAGAATATGTCTTCATGTCTTGCTAACGGACTGGGATGCAAATTTTGATACGTCCCGCCAGGATAGCTGCTGCCGTAATTTGGGTGTCCAAGCGCCTCTAATAGCATCCACTCAGGCAGGGTTAATGATTGGATGGAGCGATCCATGTCAAGGACGACCAGACAGCCGACCTGAGCAAGACAACATCCTACGAGCCAAGTATCCAGTTGAAGATCCTATGAAAGATCTATTGGGAACGATCATGATAACATTACGACTGATCTGGCTTGCAAAGGAGGCTCAAGAACTAGGCTTGACCCACAAGCTCTGTGAGTTACAGTATGCCGTCAAACCATTCAACCCCCATTCCGTACCAATTCCGCTGGCTTTATGTCCTCCAAAAGGCACCTTAGGCGCCACATCAAAGTGTGAGTTAATCCACACGCTGCCTGAATCAAGCTGGTTGGCTATTCGACGAGCTCGCGTCATGTCCTTGCTCCATACTGATGACCCAAGCCCTGTCTCAGTAGCATTTGCCCGCGTAATGACATCTTCCTCATCTGACCACTTGAGCATAGGCAAAATCGGCGCAAAGGGCTCTTCTTGCACGACCCGCGAAGATTCAGGAGGATTATCAATAATGGCTGGATGGATGAAGTAGCCTGCTGATTCATCAATATTTCCGCCAAGGGCTGTCTTGAGACGTTCCGTGCTTTTGAAGAGATCCTTGGCCTTGTCGTACTGCATGCTGTTCTGGACTGGGCCGATAAAGACATCTGGCTGGGTGCCGTCGCCAACCTTGAGGGATTGCACGAAGGCCACAAGTTTCTCCCGGAACTCATCATAGATCTTTTCATGGACGTACAGCCGCTTAATCACCATACAGATCTGGCTTGAGCAGAGGAAGGAGAGAAACCCAATCTTTGGAATGACCGCGTCGATATTGACATCGTCGCAGATGATGGCTGGGTCATTCCCGCCTAACTCCAGAGTAACCCGCTTCAGGTTCTTTGCGCAACTCTTCATAACAAGCTTCCCTGTGCGGATTGAGCCAGTGAAACTGATCTTATCAATCCCTGGGTGCTCTGTAATCATAGGGCCCAGCTCATCATCCCCACTTAATGCCTGGACCACGCCTGGTGCGAAGCATTGCGCTGCCAACTCAGCGAGTTTCAGGACGCAGTACGGCGTAAATGGGGAAGGTTTAATAATCACAGTATTACCTGTGTACACAGCAGGCACGATCTTGCCAACAGCTAGCAAGACAGGGAAATCCCATGGCACGATAGCCCCACAGACACCAACGGGAGTGTACCGCTGAATGATCTGTTGTTCTTCTGTGTCTTCAATGACCGTCTCAGGAATCTCAATTGTGGGTAGGACTCGAGCCCACTGGACAGCCATTCCAACCTCTACAGCGGATTGACTGAGCGCCTTTCCTTGTTCCTGCGTTAAAAGCTGTGCCAGTGCCTCCTTATTTGCTTCAATTTTGTCAGCAAAGGCGCTGAGGATTGTGCGGCGCTCATCAAATGAGGTCTTAGACCATTTTCGGAAAGCTTGGCGAGCAGCATCGACGGCTTGATCGAGATCTTCTTTTGTGGAGACGGGGACTTCAGGATTAGGTTGACGGTTTGCAGGGTTGAGGCTGTGACGGGTGTGCGAGCTGCTGATCAACTCATTGTTGATGACATTGTGGAAGGCCTGGAAGGACTTGTTAGTGGGCGGCAATGGGGAGGGGTGAGAATGAATACTGTAATATCCAAAGACATCATGATGAACCTGGCTGCGCCGATGGAGTAGTAGAAAAGATTGGAAAGAGATGAATTATCACGGGCAGAGGAAATACCTATTTGCTAAAAGTAAATGAACCCCACCGATCATCTTGCCTCTGCATTGTATCACCCAGTGGTTGATAAAGTGATGTTCTTTTCTGCCCTTAATGGCTTATGATATCATACCATTACCCACCTATAATTATGCTAACTTCAAGATCCTCGTGGCAAGATTTAGATTCGCTAGTGGTAAGTTGCTGGATTAATGGACTACTCCCGCTGTATTCCGAGTATTGGCTCAACATAACCCTTTGAGTTAGTCAATTCTAATCCTTTTCGTCAGACTCTGTGTATTGCCTGAGCATATCATCCTAGAGTGGGTCTGTACCGGCGGCATTTCTGAAAAACTAGCATGTGTAACTCTTGCAGTGCTTCCGCATCGATGAGCCAAATATGACCGCATACCTGGCCGCGCTCCAGATTCTAGAACCAACCGTGCAGTGTTGACCGCCTGTAGTGTGCGATTGGAGGAGATTGGTTCGAAAGCGGGCTATACCTGTTAGCCGAAGACGGAGTGAGTACTCCGGGTTAGATAGTATGCCTGCTGACCATACTACTACGATTTACGCGCAGATGTATAGTTGCCAATGCAACAGCTGATTTGACAATTGAGATGACAAGGTATAAGTTAAAGAGGAAAAAAGACGCACGACTAGCTGGCTGCGATTACTACCGAGAAAGCTGTTCCAAGCCGTTGGTGGCCCAACGGCTCCGAAAACTGAAGGTGTGGACTCCGCTGCCGCTAGATAGGGTTTGGCAACAAACCATGGTCGTGTAAGGCTGGTAAGTTCACCTATGCCGCTGGATCGTCGGGACGTTTATCCCATTTTGCCGTCCAGCCTGCATTATGCCTTGAGTACCTACAACTGTACTAGTAGCAGCACGGGTTCTCGACAGGTCTCCCTAAAACCTTGTTACCACTAACCATCTACTACTGGGTCTGCGGCTTAGCTGAATGCGGTACAAAATATCCCTTGCTGAGCCCCCTCCTTTATATGTAACACTGTCACTGAACTTTAAATGATGATATCATGGGTGGAACAAGCGTATCAAGACTTCCCAGCCCTCTTCGATTACTCTAATTTGCTGTCTTTATACTTAAGAGTTGATCTCCCTTGCGGAGCTATTATTATGAACTTCTGTCCTTGATTTTGAAATCTTACCTGGATAGCATTCATTGGGCTTTTAATATGGGCGACCAACGTGGCACTGGTGACTCCCAGACCGTCACTCAAAGACTGAACAGAGTTGTCGAGCAACATCCTGACAGTCTGGCCGTTATTTGTACGCACCAACCCGCGAACCTCTACGGCTTCTGCAGTACAGAGTTGGACGAAAGGAAGTACCGTCAAAAGCCATATTTGCGATGGACCTTTAACACTCTCAGTAACGCCAAAAAATGCTTAGCAGCCGGTCTGCAAGCTAAGGGTGTCAAGCAGGGCACACCTATTTTCGTATTCTGCCAAAACCAAGTGGAGTTCATCCTGTCTACATTAGCAGCTTATCATCTGGGGTTGATCCATGTTCCAATGAAATCAGAGACACTGGGCAATCTAGAAGAAGCACAGCACATAGTGAACGCAGTCATTGATCACGAGCAGCCAAAACAAGTGGTCATTCTTACAGATAATGAGAGTGCAGCTAAAAAAGTCGATCAACTAAAGCTGCCGCTCCCTGCTCTMAAGATTTTGGTTGAAGGGCATGGCGCTAATCATGGAGGATGGATACCTTTCGCTTCTCTGTTTGAAGGCCAGAAGCCTACCGTTTCTGAACCGTGCGATCAAAAGCAGTCTTTCAAGGAGTGTTCTGTTTTCTTCACAAGCGGTTCCACAGGCCTGCCAAAAGGCTGCTTCATACAGATAGCACGATGGTTTGAGGTTCTCGAGCCTTCCTTAGGACTAGGATCAGCCTCATCAGGGGACGTCCTCGCGGTTACGGTTCCGAGCACCCACGCATTTGGTTATATATGCACTACAGTATGTCTGCTTCGTGGGGCCTGTGTTTTGTTTCCTGGCCCAAAGTTTTCGCCCCAGGAGACCATTGAAGCTATGCACCAAGAGAAATGCACTATGGCGGCGATGGTTTCGACTATGGTGTACAGCTTGGCCGAAATTTACAATGCCTCTAAGCAGCAGATGCCGTTGAATCTCAAGAAAGTGACGTTTGCTGGGATGGCCACTACTCCTGATATTCTCAAGATCTGCAGAGACACCTTTGGTGTCTCCGCGGTTGAGAACTTCTTTGGTATGACTGAGGGAGTATTCACGACTACGGGGTTTGTGCAGGACCTGGACACTATAATAAAGGGAAACGATGTATCCATTGGAAGGCCTGTGGCCAAGTCAGACGTTCGCATCTGTGCCCCAGATGACAATCGTCAGCTACCAACGGGGTCTTATGGTGAACTGCATTGCTCAGGCTACTCAACAATCCAACAGTACATAGGCCGTAGGAGTGATGATTTCTACGAGGCCGACGGCAAGATTTGGTTCAAAACAGGCGATCGGGGTTTCATTGATCATGACTCACAACTATACATTGCTGGTCGTTATAAAGATATGATTGTGCGCGGAGGACAGAATATTTCTCCTTCCAGGATCGAAGCGGTTCTCACTCAGCACCCAGAGTTCCGTGATCTGGAACCCCAAATTGTGGCGGCAAGCGACCCGACTGCTGGAGAGATTCCCTTCGTGGTCACAAATAGGGAAATTGACAATGAACTAGTAAAACAGCTACAGGATACAGTTCGCACTTCCTTAGGTGTTACGTATGTCCCAAGTGGCATCGTCTCTCTACAAGCGCTAGGTCTGGATGATTATCCGAGAACAGCGGTGGGAAAGATCAAGAAGACGAAGCTAACAGAAAGCGTGCGCGAGTATCAACAACAATCTCAGACACCGGTCGATACTGAAAATCCCGATTCGTCATCGCAGCTCGTACAAGCGGCTAAAGCTACTTGGGCACGTGTGCTAGGATTTCAGGACGCTGACTTCGACGTGAACACTCCGGTAGCCCAGCTTGCCGATAGTATCACTAATCTCACAGCTCGTGATCGGATCCAAAAGACAACGGGCAAGAATGTTCCCCTTGAAGAATGGATCGCAGCGACAACATTTCAGGATCAAATCACCCTGCTCGAGAGGAGTGAGACTGAAAAGGGACCCTCGGAAAGATCTCCAAGCGAAAAACGTACGGGGCCGCCTAGATTGGAAGATATGGTTCATTTAGATGGTGACAAGGACGAGCTAAAGGCAACCAAGACCGCGGTTGAAAAAACAATCGCGAAAAACGGTCTCTCATGGGACGATATCGAAGACGTGTTCCCTTGCACGGACTTCATGCAGATGATATGCAGATCTCGAATAATCAATACTTGGAACATCCGCACGTCAATTGTGTCCCAAGGCGCCAGTATTCAGGTGAGTAGCGTGGATAGACCAGTCAATATTTGTCATCTGACTTAGCACAACAGGGTATGAGGGCAGCTCTAGAGGCCGCCATAGCCAATAATCCTCTGATGCGGGCATTTTTGGTCGATGATCCTGCTACTTTAGGCTCAACACTTAGTCTGTATGTGACTATACGCCAGAATCAGAAGTTTCTTGACCAGTGCATTTTGGACTATGGCACTGTGAATACTTTGAAAGACCTTGAAAGGATCACAATGGATTATCCTTTCAAGGACCATGCAATGCTTCCTGGACCACTTTTCCGCGCTCTGGTCGTATTTGTGCAGGAAGTAAATTCGGCCGCCGTCATTACCAATAGTGAGCCCCTCAATTTTTGTCCAAGACGGGCAAGAGTAGCTAACTCTCCCCAGTCTCCCATGGCATTTTAGACATCGTCTACTTACGGCTGTTTAATGAAGATATTGACTGTGCCCTCGGGGAACAGTCTTTGCGACCGCATATACCATTCAAAGCTTGGGCAGACAACTTCTACATACACAGGACATCGACGGCGGCACAATCCGCGGTCAACTTCCATGCAGAGTATCTTCGCGACCTCAAAGAACATCATCATGTACTCTGGCCCCATCCGACATATCATCTGACGGTTTCATCAGAGCGTGCCAACAAGGACGGTCACCTTATTACATTTTCAGCTCCATCATTTGCCGGCCTCCGAAGGAGGTATCCGAAGCTCACGCCACCGATAATACTAAAAGCAGCTCTTGCACTACTTGTCATATCCCGAACAAACCACACCCACGCGGTATTTCTGAACCTTGAAGCCGCTCGGGAGGGATTCCCCTTCTCACCCGACTCACAGGGATCCTTTGAGGCTGCTGACGTCGCAGGTCCGACATTTGGCGGGGTAGTGAATCTCATTGCTTATAACCCCAAAGAGCCTGTGCTAGACTATATGATGCGAGTTCAGCATGCCCAATCACAGTTGACGGAGCATTCCAGTGTTCCGTGGTATGAAGTTTTTAAGCGGTTAGACTTGCCAGCCGCTGCCACGATGTCCGAGATTGCGGAGTCGTTGATCTTCAATTGGGTATCCGAACTTGGCCCGCTAATGCGAGGGCGCAATCCTTTCGAACGAATGACACTCAAACAGACGCATATTCGGACAAAGTTGGGGATGCTTGTAAATGCAGGAGCAGGCGGACCTGATGGAAGTCAGATCATAATACAGTTGCATGGGGCGTTAGCAAATATGTCGTCCATGTGGGTTGAGAATGCAGCAGAAGAGTTGAAGAATATCGCTCAATGGCTGGCAGATGAGCGGTCATGGTCGCTTCCGGTGGCAGAATTTACTCGTCACTTGCATTGAAAGCATGTACGTGGATGTGTATCATTTACCACTCTCCGTCCTACAGAATATGTGGACCAACACAGACCTATATAATTGTTTCAGTAGCTATTTACAGTAACCCACTGGGTCTTGTTAAGCTGTGTGGCTGGTTGAGGGTTGTTTGCTGTGGTATGGTGTTTCAGAACATTTGAGATCTTTAAGGGAATCTGAGAAATAATATTCACTGTGCCCTCCTAGGGAAAAAAGTTGGCATGCATTATTATTTTTTATCCTATCTGTTCCTGCACGCCTGGTGAATGTAAATGATTACCAAAGTGACTTGCAACATTTTTGTGCAGCTTTTAGATAGGCTTTTGGTTCTTAGTTATCTATCAGAACATAGTMACTGCCTTTCCTTTATTTGATAAACTTGCCATCTCTCATAAGATTGATATAGCTTGCCATGTGCCGCTAAGCACCAATGACTACTGCATAATTGAGGTGATAGACCTGATGTTTCTCCAGTGAGCCGTAGAGTTGACTCGTCAATGTCAAGGGGAGAGAGGTGCTAATTCTATGGATATGACTGCCCTACTTGGGACAATCTCCGGTCATTGTCTCTATTATACTAGGATTTGTCTTTCAATTTACCCCCGCTTTTGAGTTTGTGTGTCAATAAGTGGCTCTATTTGGGCCCACTGCTTTGTTGGCACAGACGTACGGCGGAACAAACATGGTCTTTTTACTTCTCAACTGCTGTCAAAGGATTGCTGTATGGACTGCTCCCATGTTACTAGCCCATAACCGTTATTATTCCAGCGGAAGCAGCTATCGTGAAGAAGTACTAGATGCCAAGCTAACTTCCCCAATTGAACATCCCACATTCAAGCCTATAGTAGTCTCTAGTACCTGAACAGTTAACTAGGAGGAGCACGACCAAAAGACCACGAACTGTAGCTAGAGTCATGGTATATAGTAGACATTAATGGGTAAATCAGGGTAAACTCCGAAGTGTCGTGCAGACTTTTAACACTCGGTCACAGATCATATTCAATTATATTAGGAGAAATCAATAATGGACAGGATGCTGTGAATTTCCTAGCTAAGTATCGTAGCTGTCTTTCTGGCCAATGCGCTTTGGATGATTGCAGCCAACAGATCCTTGTATGGATACCCGTTTTCTTCAGCACTCCTTGCCAACGGGGAATGGCCGGGAAGTAGGCCGGAAATAGGATTCAGCTATATGAGGTTAGATAAAAGTTCCTGCCTTCGATGAGGTTGAGGTAGGAAGACTTACCTCTAGAACATTGGGAACAGCATCTAGCTCATTGGAGCTGAATCGAATATCGACACGCCCAGCATCGCGGCAACCAAAAGTTTTCCAAGCGTCCAATGCAACTTGACAGGCAGCCTTGACCTGAGTTTCGGTCATAAGACCAGGGTCATTTCGTTCTACCAGCATGTCGGTGTCACTACACTTACTTATTCTGCTGGCAAACTCTAGACCGTTGCAGTTTCCGTTTCTCACAGTGCCATCGCTGGAAGGCTTTTTCCAGAGAAATTCTGTTACGCCAACCACGCGACCCTGAGCACCAGTTCCTAGAATGCTCACTGAAAGCTCCCGGCCCGACAGAAAGGGTTCCACCAAGATGTCTTGGTCCGGTAATAGTGACCTTAGTTTTTTGACTGCCGACTCTAAGTCTGCAGGTTCCATCACCTTGTTAAATCTGTGAATCCCCTTAGAAGAGCCTTCAGTAACCGGCTTTAGAAAAAGTGGATAATGTGGTATCATATCGGTAAGATTCTCAAGGCTCAGTTTCTGATCCTCCCGTGAGATCACTGAAAATGGGGCAGTGGGTATCTTATGATGAGCTAGAATAATCTAAGTATCAATATATTAGTTAGTTGGTCCTTAGTCTTTCAAGGAATAGTCCAGTCCTTTGGGTACGGTACCTTAGTAGAGACCTTGTTCTGGCACAACGCCATCGTTGCAGCGTCGGAAAACGTGTACGGAATCTGGTAAGCGTCTAGCAGCGCTGGGATCTGGGCTTCTCTGGCTAAACCATGAAATCCTTGTGAAATGTTGAATGCTAGGTCCCAATCCTTATTTGTGCCAGCCGCTAGGTGTTTGACAAGGGCTTGGATTCCTGGCACCAGCGTAACATGGTGTCCCAATTCTTTCAAGGCAGTCAGGAGCTCGTCGGCTTCACCATTGTGTGGCAGAGCTGCGCATTCTTCTTCTGAATAACCTTGGTCGTGGTAGGTCGACCTTTGTTCGGCAATTAGGGCTATATTGAGAAAAGGTGTGTCAGGAAAGGCCATCCTCTGAGTAGAATATAGTAGGGTATTGGGAGATAGCAGAACAGAAAGAGAAACTTTTTCTTAGACCTCAACTATGTGCGCTATTTCAAAACCTCTAGGGGATATAACTGATTCTGTTCTATTTCAATGGAACTACATCAATGTTACCGTGGCATCTACGTCGGCGGAAACTTGCAACGTAATTGTTGATTAGTATAACAGCAGAATCTAAGGGAGGGAATGTCTGTGGTTCAATGTTAGTCTTGATCAGTATAAAGTGCTGCAGAGATATTTGTGATTTGTTCATTTTTACTACACAACCACACAGCCTTTTGTGTATGTAACCAGAGAAAGCTGTGATGGCATTAACTTGGGTCCTTGGACTGTCTCTCGCCATATCTGTCCGGTTTCATAAATCCAAGAGAGGTAAAATTTTAAAGTTTCCGGAAACGTTTTCCAGCAGACGCTGGTTGGAGCAACCACTAACCTACGCTGTGGAATTTGACAGCTCTGGTAAGTGGGTCCTGTGGAATGCGCTGCCCGAACTTGCCGCTTATCTGGTAAAAGCCTAATCCTATATAACTGAACGGGGGCTTAGGCTAAGAGCGAGTGCTAGAAATAACTCTGAGATCATTGTAAGCAGAGTGCTGTAAGCTCGTATCACCTTCCCGCTTTATGATCCTTGCCACCTTCGTCTCTTGCGAGTCTACTTTGGCGCAGGAATGACGGTAGGACCTGAGTATATACCGCCATATTATGATGCAAGGACTACCTCTAATCTACCAACTGATGTTACATATTTCAAAGTTTGCACCTTAGGGGCTACTGTATACCACTGGTGCTACGTCATCTAGACGCCGGCTCTACCGCTATCTCATACTGTCTATCGTACTACAGGGCTCATTAACTCGACGGGTCAATCTATTTTGGGGTTTGGTTCTTCGCCACGTAGTGAAACGTCGTTGTGACTCCACCAGCAGCTTCGCGCGAATCGCAGAGATTGCAGACCAGCACTGTTCTAGACTATGGGCTTCCTCTGGGGATGAGGAATTAGGTTTCAGTAGCTGCCGCAAGAGGCTAATCAGCTCCACTATATCCTTGGTCATGATGTCCACGCATATAGTCAGGTTTGAAGCGGTTCTATCATTTCCAGTAACCACCTAACCACTACTGCTTTAACAGTAACAGGTTTGGGCCCGAAACCTGCAGTGTATAATCAAGGTTTGACGTTTGTTCACTGCTCTTTGTACATCGCCGGAAATGGGAGGGACTTCCCAAATTGGCTTGGCCCGCATAGTATGGAATAAAGTACCAAGGATTAGAAACCCGCCAGCGCGGTTCACATATGTTAACCATGATTGGGACCTTCCACTCTCCACTCTAATTCTACTACATTGAACAGCTGCTATATATAATGTCATAAGGTTATGCTGCTACCTCTCTCTTAAGTTAAAAAGGCCTCTACTCGTCACAGTTTCAAATACTAAGTTTAACCATTTCCGCTTGTAGAATTTTTTTTTTTTTCCCTTTTCTTTTTCTTTCAAATTTTTTTTTTTTTTTTTTTTTTTTGGTCCATAGCTAATTTTCTCCGTCTACCATCCCAAAACAACAGCTGGGCGGAATACACCCCCATCTGCACGTTTCATTGCTGGAATCTATGTTCGGACTTTCCACCTAATTGATATAGCACCATCTCCATATATATTCCAACGATGTGTTCTATGATCCTACTTACTACTGCCGTGGGATTAATAATAGCATTGGCTTCGATCAAGTTTGCTAGCATTCCGGCCCTGCAGCAGATTCTCAATTCCTGGAATAGCAATGACCATAACCAGAACAACATCTGTCTGCTGCCGCCTTACGTGCAAAGCCCTCCAGATGGGCTCCTCCCACCTCACAGGTTCACACGGGATCAATCAATACGGATGCGCCAGGCTGATCGCCTTTCTAAAGCTGTCCGAATCCCAACTATAATCGAAGAGCACATGCAAGACCCCTACAGTGAAGAATTTGGTCCATTTCTTGACTTTCATGGACTTCTTCGATCCCTTTTCCCCCTTACGTACGTTCCCCCACCCAAATACTTGTCGCACACGCCCACACCTAACAATCAGCTGCCTCAAGGTACTCCAAGGCTAGAGTAGACTATATCAACAGAATAGGTCTAGTCTTTACTCTAAATGGTACAGATCACAGCCTCAAGCCTCTTCTTTTCGCAGCCCACCAAGACGTTGTCCCTATTGACGACCTCTCTAAGTGGACCTACCCGCCATTTTCGGGGCATTTCGACGGTGAATGGCTCTGGGGCCGCGGAGCAGCCGACTGCAAAAACCTGGTAATCGGACTATTGTCTGTTATTGAGGATTTATTAGCCCAGAAATGGCACCCAACTCGTACCGTTATACTTGCCTTTGGCTTTGATGAAGAAATCCAGGGGCAGCTTGGTGCAAAGTCAATTTCTTCCTTCCTTGAGCAAAAACATGGACGATATAGCTTTGAATTGATCACGGATGAAGGAGGTTTGGGTATTGAAAATCTTGCTAATGCCGAAGGGGACGATGATATAGTTTACGCCCTTCCCAGTATAAGTGAAAAAGGCAGTATGAATATGGTCTTGAATCTTTCAGTGTCAGGGGGGCACAGCTCTGTTCCACCGCCTCATACAGGTATTGGAATCATGTCTGAGATCATTTATTTCCTAGAACGACAAGATCTTTTTACGCCCCTTCTAGGCGAGACACATCCATCTCGCCAAAGGTTAGAATGCCAGGCGAGGCACTCACCAAACTATGTTGAATCATGGCTGCCAGACATACTACAATCCACCAACCATTCGTTTGCAGCAGAACAGCTAGCCTTGTCAAGAGGCCCTGAGTTTAGATTCATGCTGCAAACATCGCAAGCGGCTGATATTTTCCACGGTGGTGTTAAAGCAAATAATCTGCCTGAGAATATATCAGCAATGGTTAATTACCGGATAGCCATGCATCAGACACCAGACACGGTTAAGTCTCGCGCTATTCAGATCATTGCTCCTATCGCTCGGAAACATAATCTGACCTTATTTGGCTTCCGAGAAGACTCCAGATCGGAAGGAAATAACTATCTACGGCTGTCAACAGACAAAATTGAGCTACACCCGGCGCCCATTAGCCCCATGCATGATGCAGTTGGGACCCGGCTTTCAGGGGCTATACGATCAGTATTTGAGTCTGTGCCCAGTTTAAATGGAAAAACTGTTGTCGTCTCCGGGGATATTATGCCAGGTAACACAGATACAATATTCTACTGGAACCTGTCAAAGAATATATATCGCTGGGAACCAGTTAGGAGAGGCAGGGCACTGAACCTACATGGTGATGATGAAAGGATTGCCATCGATGCGCACTTGGAGACTATGACTTTTTATTATGGTCTGTCTTTCCTTTCTTTTTGTTTCAGCCCTGGGAGGTTGTGGTTGTCTATGACTTGCTAAGCTGTTTTCTGAGGCAGAACTTATCCGTGCTTTTAATGTACCGGACGACTCGAGAGAACAGGCTCATGCTAAGTAGCCGAGTATGGCGGATGGCGGATTGCTAGGCTGACCGTGGGGACGGTAAATCCCAAAATAATTCCAAGGAATAACTGGGGATGCCTTTTTTGAGGTTAAACGGGATGGAATATCCAGTTTGGTTAATATTTCATGGGGAATGCCGTTCTAGTCCTTCAATTGAGATGGGATGGGAAACGGGATGCCAAGAATGGGATTGGACGGGTACTAGTTATACTTCTATACTACTGGAAGACAATGTTGTTCAGTATTCATCCTGGCCATTCGCTCCACCTTTATCTCGAAGTCTCAATGCAGCACTACGTGTAGTGGAATTAGGGTCCAAGTAGGGCTTGTTACCAATGGATACGACGCGGAGAGCAAGCCGCTCCCCAACAAAGTCGCTGGACAGGACAGTGTTAGTCATCCAAGGACTGATATGGAGGGATGAAGTACAAACTTTGTGACGTTATGAAATACAGAGCGGCTTGCCAAAATGTCAGTGGGCATGATCATCCAGAACGAGGCAGACTACCTACTTGTCCCAAATAGCAACATCATACGGCTTCCATTTGTGTCGAATTTGAAGGTCGTGGTTGTCGGCAATCAGGCGAAGGACTTCTCGTTAATCCTAAACCAGGAAGAATGACCAGAGAAACTCACAGTATGCCTGCATAATCTGGTTCTCATAATCGGTGACTCCGTTAATCCCGCCGAACGAAACTTGGTAGCCCAGACCGTAAAGTGACTTCCACCCAGTAACTGGATTCGTCTGCACAACACGACTTTTGTCTTGTTAGTCGGAACACCCAACCTTCGTGGACACCTTACTGCACGGCTTCCAGTTCGGTACCGACGTTCTCCGGCGAGCCTCGCTCCTCGGCCCGGAACTTCAAGCCTTTCTTGTTTAACGAGTCGGCACTGGTCGAGTCGCCATGGGAAGCTACCAGTCATTAGCTTCGCCTACCCAGTTTTAGCGGAGGGATGGCCATGTACCCGTAAGGCCCTCTGCGAATTTCTGCCAGGGCTCTGACATTCGCTCATATGCAGCGTATGCTGATGCCCAGACAGTATCCCCACCCGTCTTGGGACATTTAATCATCTTAAATCCTGTGTAGTCTGCAGGAACATGTTCGAATGATTCACTGAGGATTGTTAGTTACTCACTTTGGTATCCTGCAGAGTTCGTCGCAACTTACTCGGCATGCCAACTCCGGCTAGCAAATTTCATATCGGACGGGTTAAGGAAGCTATCGAAGAACTTGTCGTTGTTCTACAGCCACAAAGGTCAGATTGCGAACTCCACGTGAAGGAGCAAAATTCAGAAAACTGACAAAATTGGAAACTGTATAGACCTCCGGATCCATTGACTCAGGAATACCCAGATGACAATTATTTTCACTGGCAAATTCATGCTTGTGTAGCTTTGAGGTCGTAGGTTTGCCCGTCAACTCGCCAAGCTTTTGCATTAGGATTTTAAAACCGGATACTGGTATGCATTGATTATGAAAGAAGAGAACACCACGCTCAGAGGCTGCACTTATCAATTTAGCGATCAAACTTTTTGTTTCCTAGTCGTCAAGCTACAGCGCCTACCTGTGATAGCGAGATCCCTGACCTTCGCATCGTCACTGACGATACTCGATAATTGAAGATTTGGATAGTCTCTCCCTAGCAAAGGAGTGACGTCCTGATACTGAATACCGTTCAATGCACCTGAAACCCGCATAGGAGCGCGAGGTGCCATGGCGTAGAATGGAGTCGTAGAAAACAAACGTCGAGCCATCTTTAAATTGATCCAATGATATATATTTATGACATGATAGTCCTCAACGAAAGATATGAGATGTTCCGAATGACAGTAGGGGCAATTAAGGTGAACCTCAAAAAGAGAGCCTGATCGTCAAAAGAAAGGATTTCTTGACCGCAGTCCGCAAGGCTTGAGGAACAATGGAGTTCCGGACTAAGGAATACGTCATAACATTTCCAGCCAGCCGATATCCTTGCCTTGTAGGAGCTGATTGATGTGTTGGATTTAAGGTTTTACAGAGAAAATGACTGTGATGTAAGTCAAAGTCATTTTTATCTTACCATTAGTCCCCAGCACCCCAGCCAAAGGTGGGAGGTCGCCCGTAGCTTGTTCATGGGAGCACTAAAGGGCGGCCCCCTCTCCCGCCCAGAACACCCCCAAAAAGGCGGCCCTGAGGGTCTAAGTTATGTACCTAGGTAAATGAACTCGCTCATTCGGGTGGTCTACTTATTTTAACTATATGAAAGACTGGAGTCATCTATCTCTCATACACGACAATGATCACCTCTCGGACAGAACCAGGTTTTATAGGCGTTAGACAATAACCTCGTGGATAATAACCGTCCTTCCCACCACCGCCCAATTTCTATAGTCTGTTGGGAAACCACCAGAAAGTTTGACACTGTTGCGGATTACAGTATTCACCCAGATTCAATTTTTTTTACTTGCTTGGTCATTTATTTTAATTGAGTTTTCTATCCTTTTCTGCGCCTCTATCTGGAGTGCCCAGGTACCAACCTGGTAATTCAAACGTGGCGTCAACTATGACCACACAAAAACGACGACGGTGGACTGAGCAAGAAGATAGGATTCTCCTCAAAGAAGCAGAATCGCAGCGTATAGGTAACTCCGTTGTATTTTCCCTGTTTTTCTTGCCCTTTACCTCGTGCACTCTGCCTTAAGACGCAGGCCATGCCTTTCATCGCTTCCTCAGAACTGCGACCAAGCGGCAGCACAACAATGAATTCAAAATGTATAAAATATATAAGTATAAGGCATTGCTTGTCATTGTGTCAGGGATCTCTCTAAGTAAATAGTCTACTTCAAAGCGCACACTTCATTTTTCCTATATATTATAATATATGAGTTCACTGGGTTTGCACTGTCTTCAGGTGTATTGTTGCTCTTTAATCCCTGTACTGTTTGTATTCTTCTTCTTACGAAGACGGATTCAGGCCCGGAGTGAGTGGAGCAAACACAGTGTATGAGAGAGCTGACTTTTCATAGATGGGTATTTAAATAATTACATGGCATGCCAACAGAGATTCGCTGTCTACTCAGGGACGGCGAGCTTTCAACTACTTTCCGATGCATTTTACTCTAACACCCGAGATATAAAGCATACTTGCATCTTTTAGAATACATTTATATATATGATCTAAAACCGATTTGTCTATCTATACAATGTCCTAGCACTTTAGTGTTTATAATATTCAGCCAGAATAGAAAGCTAGATAATATATAGTCAAGGGTTTCTATTCGAAATCCAGTAACAGTGTCTGCAAAGTAGCTCCATTGTATAAAAAATCTTCAATTTCCATCTCAAAGATGACATCGATCCTAGTCATATGCGCACGAACTAGATCGCATACAGGACGAGTGAGATAGATTAACAGGAGTCAAAACAGAAGGTGTTGGTTGATGCTTGAAGAAGAATAGGAGGGGAAATCTGTTGAGAGAGTTCCCACAGGGTTGAATAGCTTAGAGCACTGAACTTGTAAAGCAAGCATCAGGCCCTTCTAGAATCACTAGAACCTATCCTTTCGCGCTATAACACGCCTCATGTACAGGTTGGAACTGACCCTGCGCACCAACTTCCAGTAGACGTAATTTGACAGCATTTGAAAGATGACGCCGCCTTGGCCCAGTTCCAAGTAGGTGATAGGCAGACTTCGGCAATGTGCGGAGATCCGGTGACGGCGTTAGTGTGTTTGCCCTTGCAATTGTAGTTCCTAAGACTTGTTAGCCCTCATGTGGATTCCAACATGACACAGTGCCTGGTGGGAGGGTGGACGTACTCCCAGATTGTGCATTCATAGCCATTTGGAATCTTCATTTGTTGGAGATTGTCGTTGAACTGCGCAAGAGAACCGCTGTTCAGGGAAACTGTTTATCTCTTCAGCTATCTTCTCTCTCAGGAGACGTTAGGGATTAGGGAAGGGGGGAAATGAGGGTTCGATCCACTTACAGCAACTGCCATCAGGATCCACGTTGTACGGAGTAGTGACTCCACTAGTACTGACTAGAGACACCTGAATAGCAGCGTTGGCATAGCCAAGGAAAAGCAAGCCGGCGATTGTTTTGATAAGCATATTGATTGAGTAGTTATGAGGTTCTTGTTGGACCGGCGACTATGTTTCAGAGAGGCTTGGGATGGTTAAGATTGAGCCGAAGGAAATGGTGCTGCAATATACTGGTATTTATACCTTAGATGGGTGCAGTGAATTTAATGGGATACCTTATTCTCTATGTCTCATCTACACTCTTGCAGTGAGTATACAAATAAACTTCGTCAAAAGATGCCCGAATTGGCCTAGGATGAACTGGATCACCGGCCCCATAACTTGATCTTCCATCAATCACCAAAGAATCTGCTTATGCGCATATGTAGAGCTGAAGTGATTCAAGAGCTAGTGCTCACCTGGCGTAATGTCTTTCAGCTGCCTCGCTTCGACATTGAGGCTGACTATGTAATCCCCGCAGCCCTGCTAGGCTGCATATTAAGGCATTTCAGCTGATTAGGTGTGTCGGGTTCATAGATTCCTACTAGCCAATCAGGAAGAGAGCGACGTCGGCAATAGTTGCAGCTCCGCTGGATCCTCAAGAGGGATTGCATCCAAGAATCAAGAATGTCTGTGGCACAGGGCTGAAGTTACATCACAGGCTTGAGCCGCCATGGATAGTGCCGGGTTGTCTAAGCTTACCTAAGCTTACCTAAACTTGATCTTTCTGGGTATCGGTGGTTGCGTGGTATTGTGTATCCTAGGATCAATAGCGTACTGGTATTGGGTATATTAAGAGAATCCTGAGTATCCTGGGAGATAGAGGACTATGATTAGGTATCAGGGACACTAACTGGCTGACCTAATCTAAGCCTGCTTAAGAATTAAAACAGTTTAAGTGAAGCAGAGGAAATTTGAACAATTCTCTATGGCAAATATATTTCTATTACTACATACAGAGTAATATGTAGGGTATCTTACAACACTGCATTACAGAGCTGGGCCAGGCCTCATGCAATTTCCTCATCCTTGGACTCAGGCTCATGGTGCTCTGGTATTACACTCGCGACATCCTCCAAGAAGATGAATTCCTCACCGGACTCCAAGAAAAAGCACAGCTTGCCACAGAATCAACAGGATGGGAAATATGCGCTCGCGGGATACCTTGACAACAATGTCTATCAATGCCTGGCCACCGTATGACTACCACTAGGCATCCTACCACGCGGTGAAACTAATAGTACCGAAGTAGATTTGTTGACGTAGCCCGTAGCGGCATTCGAAGCACGTTCCTAAATCTTCCCACACTCCAGCTTATGGAGCTCCAGAGAAGCCCTTTAACTTAGGCTATAGTCATATTGACATGCAAAGGGAAAGACCACTTTCCCACAGTCTTTCATGATGCATTGTGCTTTCTGGACTAAAGATGGAGTTAAATAAGCTGACAAGCAGTGATTGAAGTAGAAAGGCACTGCTGCAGTTAAGATTCTGGAGATTGAGTTTAGAGGTCCAATATGTTAGTGGCTTGCTCACAAAAACGTGGAAAGGCTTTGTAATATTTTCTAAAAGAGTGGTTGCTGCCGGCTTGAGCTCACTGCGCAAAGTGGGGAACCCGTCCAGGACGACCAGGTCGCCGAAAGATACCACACACACATTCAGGACCACGCGGGCATCCGACTGATTGAACCAGAGGTTCTCGGTGGGTATGACCCGCAGAAGAAAGAGTTTTTGCAGGAATTCGCCGTGGAGGATGACCTTCCCGCTTTTGAATGTACTCAGGCGACAGCCGACGCCTTCCAGGCAAAGCATGGGGAGCACGTCTCCATCCGTCACCTAGAAGAGTCCGACACGGTCCAAGTCCAGATCAAAACCGGCGCCCGCCTTTGGATCCCAAAGATTGTCCCTCTCACCTCAAGTGTGGTGGCAGGGCTGCTCCCAACTGGGTGGAATGCGGCCCGATACAGCATTTCTGACGACATCATCGGCCAAGTGGCCAACGTGACTCTTTACACCCTCTGCTGTGTGGCTGAGGCATTCCTCAGTGCAGGGATTGAGAATCCACTCGAAATCTTCACTGAAATCCACTTGGCCGAGATTGAGAATTTCATTGGAAGTTCCTTGGGTGGCACCGACAAGAATCGGGAGATGTTCCATGATGTTCGACTCGACAAGCGTGTTCAAGGAGGCGTTCTCCAGGAAACCAATCTGAACACGCCTGCTGCCTGGGTGAACATGCTATTGCTTGGTTCCAGCGGCCCCATCAAGACTCACGTCGGGGCCTGTGCGACCAGCCTGGAGTCCATGGATCTTGGAATTGATTCGATTCTCAGGGGTAAAACGCGGATGTGTCTCGTAGGCGGCGTGGACAACCTCCAGAAAGACTAATCCTACGCCTTCTCGACCATGAAAGCCACCGTCGACGCCGCCAAACAGTTTGTTGAGGGGCGCCAACCAGGCGAGTTTTCCCGTCCCACCGCGGAGACCCGAGCCGGTTTTCTGGAAGCTCAAGGCTGCGGTGTCCAACTCATCTGCAGCGCTGAGACGGCGTTGGCCATGGGGTTGCCCATCTACGCGGTGGTGGCCGGCTCGACAATAAGATCAGCCGATCGGTTCCCGCGCCAGGGAAAGGCCTTCTCACTTTCGCTAGAGAGTCCCTTACTGTGAGCGATTCCCCTTTGCTCGACATCAAACACCGAAGGGAGGCATTGCATGCTACTCTTTCCCGCGTAACTGGCGCGGATATCGGCCAGGTGCACCTGGCCGGCACCACCGCCATTGCCTCCGAACATGTAAGCACCGCTCTTGTACAACAGCTCCGCCGACACTGGGGCAATCATTTCCGTGCCCAAAACCCAGAGATCTCTCCCCTAAGAGCGTCTCTCGCAGTCTCTGGACTCACGGTCGACGATATCAGCGTTGTCTCACTTCATGGGACCTCTACTAAAGCCAACGATATTAACGAACCCGAAGCGATCAACACACAGATGGCCCATCTAGGTCGCAAGGGGCCGCCTCTCCTGGCTATCTGTCAGAAATCCATCACGGGGCATCCCAAGGCCGCTGCCGCGGCGTGGATGCTCAACGGGTGTCTCCAAGTCTTGCATTCCGGCCTGGTACCGGGGAACTATAACTGTGACAACATCGATCCGGCCCTACAATGCTTCGAGCATCTTGTGTTTCCGACCGAACCGATGCAGGTCCCCGAGGTCAAAGACTTCCTCCTCAACTCTTTCGGCTTTGGCCAGAAAGGCGCCCAGATGGTGGGCGTGGCCCCGAAGTATCTTTTTGCCACGCTCGGGAGCGACCACTACGCCAACTATGTACGCAGATACAGCCAACTCATTAGGCTGGCCAATCGGGCCTTTGCCAAAGCAGTGATGTCAAACTCGATCGTCAAAGCCCATGTGCATTCCCCCTACCGGAAGAAGGATGAGGCTAGGGTGCTCCTTGATCCGTTAGCTCGAGCCCGCATTCATCCAGACACCCATGAGGTCTACTTCGACCCGTCCTCTCTCCACGGCGACCCCATCGACATTGCCCCAGCTCGGGCACAAGCGGAAACCAGGGGAGCACTCGTACCTCCTACCCGGACGACCCAGGACGATGCCCTCCCTTCACTCGGTATGGAGGCGTATCGTGTGCTCGACCGCCTGCTGCGCTCCATTGCGACTTCAACATTCCCTATCGGCTCTGTTGGGATTGATATCGAGTCCCTCTCCCAATTCACCGCTGATGCCAATCCCACGTTTTTCGCACGGAACTATACCCGCGCCGAACGCGACCTCGCAAAACGCTCTCGTGATCCGCACAGTGTCTATGCCAGCCGCTGGTGCGCCAAGGAGGCCGTCTTCAAAAGCATGGGTGTAAAATCCCAGGTTGTGATTCTAGAGCACTAGACGCCTTTCCTGCTTTGCTTTGGGATTTAAGTATTCAGGGTTACGTAGCTCAGTATCACTTATTTGGCTTTTAGAATAAAGGACAGACCTTGCTATGACCCATTGAGAGTTCTATACACCTTGTAACATGCGAGCAAGGCGGCTTGCAAAGAAAAAGCCACTGAGGTATGGGAGGCGAGGTATTGAGGGCATTTAGACCTTGAAGCACCCTGAAGGAGGTTAATGAGAATCGGTTTGCTAGAGACTGTTCTCTCAAGTAAAGCACTTACTCTGGGCTAGGAATATCATTTGTACAGCAGGAGCTATGAATTGCCTTGCGTGAATTYGGCTTGCCTAACGCTGTCTGTGTGTATACAGACCTGTAGAGCGCTTAGTTAATAGTATAGTTTAGCTAGATATAGGACTAGAATAAGACCCTGCCCATAGCGCCGGAGGCTCCTATATATCCTGCTTATTGAGTGAATCTTGACTATCACGTGCGATAGATTTGGAACGCACTGATACAGGCGTATATTAGGACAATGACTGGCTGTGACTCAAATAATCGCCAAGGACTGTACCTTACAGACCATTACATCAATCTGGCACACCCTGGAGGGCCATTCAGGTGCGGTTGGCTCAGCGGCTTTCTCACCTGATAGCCAGGTGCTAGCCTCTAGCTCTGGGATCCCACTACTAGCGCCCCTAAGCACACCCTGCAGGGACATTCAAGTTGGGTCTGGATGGTTTTCTTCTCTCCTGATGGCCGGCTACTGGCGTCCAGTTCTGAGGATAGAACTGTTAAACTCAGGGATCCCATGAGTGGCGCCCTCCAGTACAGTCTAGAGGGCCATTCAGTGTTAGAATGGGTAGTTTGCTTCTCACCTGATGGTCAGCTACTGGCATCCGGCTCTGATAAATGTATTAAGCTCTGGGATTCTGCTACTGGTGCCCTAAAGCATACTTTAAAGAGCCATTCAAGATGGGTCTGATCGATTTCCTTCTCTCCAGATAGCCGGCTGCTGGCGTCTGGCTCTGACATAACACTATTAGGCTTTGGGATCCCATCGCTGGCGCACTTAAGTGTACCCTGGAGAGTTATTCAGATGGTGTTTTGCCAATTGCTGAAGCCATCAAGTTCTGGGATTCTGGTACTGCCGCTCTTAGGCACATCTGCGAGGGCCATTCGGATTCGGTTAGCTCGGTCGTTTTCTCGCCCGATGGCCGGCTAGTGGTGTCGAGTTCTGAGGATAGAACTGTCAACGAGACGAGTGCAGCCTTAATATATATGTAGCTATAGTTTTTTAAATTATTAGGATCGGCATTTTGTAGATATAGTTTGAGAATCATTTAAAATCGATTCCTTACTCTGCTGCCATAGATCAGAATATGTAGGTAATGTAGTGGTGAATCCCGTGACAGTAGTATATTAGCGGCCTGAGCCCTGCGGTATCATAAATGCCTTAGCAGACATGCATTTTTCTCCTGCGTGGACATCTCAGCATGATCCAGCACCCCAATATGATTACAGTAATTCACCAAAATTCTTGATTCATGACATAGCATCAGGACGAGTACGATCTACACCTTCAGACACCGCTCTCTATGCCTCCAGCTGTGTGGGAAAGGTTGGGTGTGCATCCTCTTCATTGATACTGACTCGTCTGCCATGCCAGACTGCCATCGTGCCATCCCCATTTCAGTTGTTAATTAGTAATCATATTCCTCTCCGCCATCCTCGTCTCCACCATAGCTGTAAGCATCCTCTTCTTGATCACTGGCTTCTTCGCTTTCGTCTTCCTCATCTTGATCAGTATCTTCTTCACTTTCATCTTCCTCTTCTTGATCACTGGCTTCTTCG